ACTCGTTCGTCGTTGTTGTTGGTTTTTTTGTTGTTGTATGTTGTAATTTTGCATCTATTCTGTTAACGCTAATAAATTGTTTCATAGTTGGGTTTTCTTTTCCAAAAAAGACAGTAACAGACCTTTGAAAAATGTTTTTTCTGTATCTCGTACGTAATCATTTATCTCCACACATATACTCCTTTTTCTATTCGAAAAAGAAAACAGGGCGCAAGCTTTGAGGGGAAAATAGACATCTATTATCACCCGGGAGCACTTCTCGAAATGTCTCCCACAACAAACCCGCACCATAAAAATTTCTGGCGAGTGATTTCAAGATGGAGAGCTGCAAGACAAATTTATCGCATTAAAAGTCAATTACATATAAATATCAACTCAAGAGGTTCAAGTTTCACTTTCAATGAGGTAGATAGGCAAAATATGGAATACGGAAAGATAAATGAAAAGGTGCATCGTACAAACAAAAGACGACAAGTTTTGGCAGTTAAGATACGAGAAAAGTGAGCAAATCAGGAAAGTTAAAAGCAATGAAAAATTTGGAAGAGATTGGCTACCTAAACAACCAGTAACACAATCAACTTGTATATACATAGACTGCACACTATTTGAAAGAAAAATTAACGAGTAATCTTGGAACAAAAGCAAAATTGAATGCACATTTAAGAGAATGGTTAAAGCTAACGATCACCGTCTCGGATTATCCGCCCAGCCCTGATCGTCGATTGTTTCTTCCATATCCGTGTATTTGTGGAGGAATTGCTAAAGATATCTAGACTTTAAAGCTTTCGAAATATAACAAACGTCTTTCTGGAGCAATCTCCAAGACTATATCCCTGTATTTGGCCATCATCGTTCTTTGTAATTCATCCCTTACCGCATGCTCAAAATCTTCTCGACTCAATTCGAGCTCACGAACCTAAAATGGAGAAAGGTTTCATTACAAAAACCAAATACCTTTGCTTGTGCGTAAGAAAGATCCCTTCTTGTATCGTCGAGAACTCTTCGTTGATTTTGGATTTCCCTCTCATACTGTGACAGCTGAAACGTAAAGGTTTTTTGCAATTCATCCCTCATGCAAAGGTTGTTGAAAAACAGTCTTTACCTACCTTTTGTCGATGTTCATTATTGAGTCGAACCTTGAATTCCTCCCATTTTTTCTGAAGATCATCTCGATGAGTTTGCTAAAAAAATAAATGAAAACGTTTATAAACCAGTCGTTACCATTTCTCGCCGATGTTTATCATCGTTCCTGATCGCTTGTTGATCGAGTCGGCTTAAATAAAAAGTTACGGTATCCCAAAAAAACAACTAACGTGTTGTCTTGTTTACATTGATTGAAATCTCGTGTCAACGTGCGGTTTTCATCTTGTACACGGCGCATGCTTTCCTCTAGCTCATTGAGACGTTTTCGCAAATCTGAAGTAATCTAACTGTCTTCAAGTTAGCTTTATAAGTTTACCTTTTTCACTTTGTCTTGTGTTCTCCAGTTGTTTGTTTAGTTCCTTATTTTGCATGCTGACTTGTTTGAGATTCTCGTCTTTTTGAGCATACTTCTAGATTCAATTCATAATTAACGAAGTTGTCGAAATGTTTTACTCTTTGTAGTTGTGCAATCTCAGACATGTTTCGCTCTTTTGTTTCCTCTAATGTCGTCAGTGTGACCTATGCAAAAAGAGTCCAAGTTTTAAAAGTAAAGTTCAAACCTGCATGATTTGATTTGTGTTTCGTAGCTCTCGTGCACTATTTGCTTCGGCATCTCTGGCTGTGATGAGACTTGCCTCTTGGGCATTGAAACGGGTAATCAACGTGCGAATCGCTTGCTCAGCCTTAACATAAATTATAATGAACTCACTTAATAGATTTTAAGTAAGTCTAAATTCATGAACTTAGTGGCCTTGCTTTAATTAATTAAACATAGCTCCACCTTATCAATTGCTTCTTTCTGTACTCGCTCAACATTTGTTTCCACAAACTCCAGCCGTCGCTCAAGCTCAAAATTTCTAAAACTTTCAATTTGCAGTAAAGCAAGATGCGAACCTTTTTGTTGCCAGTTGAATTTTCTCATTCAGTCGTTGATTGCCGAGCATTTCTCCCTCGAGAAGTTCTCGCAAATAATCAATTGTATACGACTAAAACATAAAACACTAAAATGCCAAATATAAATACGCCGTAGATGTGCCAGTGCACCAAAACTTTACCTTAATCTGAGCGATCCTATGTTCTATTGGAGCTTTACCAAAGCGTCGACTTTCTTCTGTGACCGTAATCTTAAAATAAAATAACATAAGTGCATATATTGTGATCATCACCTTCAAATTTGAAAGATGATCAAAAGCCGTAGTGATTTCGGCAAAAACACCGGTCATTTGATCGGCTAATCTAAAAAATAAAAGGCTGAATCGTATAATTAAAACAACTAACTGTTCAACGATTGGCACTGTTGGAGCAGGATTAGGCACATGATCCGTCAAAGTGGCTTGAGCATCGAAACGTCTAAAAAGAGGCAGTTGAAGACAAAATAATATAGAAATCACCTCCGAGTGTTGACGCTTGTTGGCTGGAGTTGGAAGGTCACTCGAGGCATTTCTGGAGAAGGAGTTCGATCTAGATTTCTCTAAAAACAAAGTTACCGTATTTCTTCGAATAGAAGACCGGGTAAAGAGTATCGTCGCGTACTCCTGCGTAGCAGCCCTATTTAAAATTTCTTTTCTGCATAAAAGCTTTCAATCAAGTGCTATAGGGGGGTGGGACAAATGCGACCTTTTTTTTGCGCACCTGGACATTTGCGCACCTTTTTTTGCTGGAAAAGGCCTTAGGAAAGGCCGTAGAGCTTCGAAAATATTTCGAAAATTTTTCCCTATTAGGGAATCGTATGCGTAGATTCCGAATTTCGACAAATCAGACCTCGCTGACACGTCAAATTTGGGCTGAAAGGCAAAAACTACGCAACTTAACGCTTTTCCGCAGTTTTTGCCTTTTAGCCCAAATTTGACGTGTCAGCGAGGTCCGATTTGTCGAAATTCGGAATCTACGCATACGATTCCCTTATATGGAAAAATTTTCGAAATATTTTCGAAGCTCTACGGCCTTGCCTAAGGCCTTTTCCAGCAAAAAAAGGTGCGCAAATGTCCAGGTGCGCAAAAAAAAGGTCGCATTTGTCCCACCCCCGTGCTATAGAGCTGGAAAATGGCTCAAAAATCTGTTAGCTCATGTGGTATTTTTGAGTCATTTTCCAGCTCTATAGCACTTGATTGAAAGCTTTTATGCAGAAAAGAAATTTTAAATAGGGCTGCTACGCAGGAGTACGCGATGATACTCTTTACCCGGTCTTCTATTCGAAGAAATACGGTAATCGTAAACTTAAAATAGTAATCAATTCAATTAACCTGTTTGTGTACAGTTCCAACTATTGGTGTGTCGGTCGATCTCGAGCGTCTCAATGGAGTTCTAGATGAAAAAGAAATAAATATTCAGTGAAAATTAACAAACGCATCAAGCGAATCTTGTGCTGTTCTCGTTCTTGTCGAGATTCACGAGACATTTATGAGCTGTCCACTCGATAAAGGCTACTGTAAATTTGTAATTAAATTGATTTATCTGCAAAATTAAAAGAAAAAAAAGAATTAAATCGGTCGCAAAGAAAAATATGGGCTCAATATTTGCTGGGGTGGGAACAAAGTACGATTACTAGACTAGTAAATCGGGGTGGGCTAAATTGAACTTCACGGTCCAAAAGGTCAAAACAAACCGGGCGTCCAAAATTTTTAGAAAAAATCTTGTAAGATTTTGCAAAATTTCGTTGAAACTTGAAATGCAACTACAAATTTGCAAGATTTTGCTCGTTTTGCTACAATTCAAATTTTTTTGGTTTAAAAATTTTTCTCCTCATTATTTTTGCTTTTTGTGCATAACTAGTATACTTTTAAAGTGTCCCCCTTGCCCACTCAGCCGAATATCTTCTAGTTCCGTGGAAATATTTCATACAAAAGGGGCAGCTACGGAAATCTAAAAGATTTCATAGCTGCCCCATTTGTTTGAATTTTCCCACAAAATTAAAAGATATTCGACTAGGGCTTAGGGGGACACTTATAACTAGTATAACTAGAAAGTATAATAACTAGGCATAGTAAAGCATAAAAATTGGTTTTGAACGTATTTTGGCTCTGGACCGTAAAGTTCAATTTAGCGTTTTCAAGAGAAAGAAGCAATAGAAAAATTTAGGTGGGACAAAGGAGTCAAGAACATGTCGGAAAGATTAATCTCTGAATTTCGCATTTCTGAATTTCAATTTCTGAACGTAAATTGGAGTAGTGCATCTGAATTGGAGTAGTGCCTTAGAAACACGAGATTTGGAGGCATTTATCATAAAAGTGAAAAATTTCTACATTTCCCTCTAGAAAATTAATAAACCGGGCTAATTTTGGTCATTTTGCGCGCATTTGATGCGTAGGGCCGCGCTCTAGATGCAATAGATGAAAAAAGTGCAAAAACCATAAAAGCAAAAACCATAATAGCGAAACCATAAAAACATGCAAAAATAACGCGAGAATCAAGAATATTAAAATCTGGCCGCGCTGAAATTAACGTTTTCAAGTCTTTTTTTCCGCGGCGCTGAAATAAACGGCGCTGATTTGTTCGCACGGTTCTAACTAGGTCCCGGCAATTGATTGGCGAGAAATTTTGTCGAACATTCATTTTCAAGTTGTGTCAGCGCTCAAAATTAATAGATTTGGGCTTTAATTCAGTTGTTTAAACCTGATCTTTCATGTTTTTGGCTATCTACTGCATTGGTTGGAATTAGTAGACAGCACAAAAGCTTTCTGAACAACTACAATACTTTTTGAGATTGCGATAAGGACCAAATTAGTGATTGTTAGCGTAATTGCAAATTGGTACAGATGTAGACTTTTTAGATTCATTTTATAAAGAAAAGCTAGCATTTCTAAAAGTTTCATTGTTTTTTGTTTAGCTTTGTCGGCGTATCTCTACTTTCTTTTTAGATGCCGTCATCATTCTGCCGAATTTGCCTCTCCGATGATGCTCCACTCATCACGCCGTGTAAATGTCGAGGAACGATTGCCCATGTACATAACGATTGCCTTCTCGAATGGGTGCAAGTCTCCGGGAGCACGGTTTGTTTTTTGTTTTGCTTTATCTATCAAGAATGGTGGCGTCAATAGGATTGGGGAAACCATCTGACAGGCTAAAATATACTCATTATGGCAATACCTACTTGTGTAAAGGTTACGACTATTCTACAGTGTAAAAGCGGGTACAATAACGAAGAGGAGCGAGATGGCTAAAACACTGAACAGTTGCTGTTTGTTTGGTTAAATTGCGAAAATTATGAAGGGATTTTTTCATGTCTTAGAAATATATGCATATTTTTTTAGAGATGCGAACTTTGCCATGGAGAATTTGTGATGAGATCGGGAGGAATGAAGAGAATCGATCAATGGCGCCTTCCACGAGTTCAACAAAATTCTCCATGCTCACGGGTCAGTTTTTATTATTGCAAAAATTTGCAAAAAGCACGAAAAAGTGTAATAAATTTATCAAGTTTCTGTTTTAAAGGTATTGTAGTTCTTCTTGGGCAAAATAACTATTGTTTTTAGGTAAACAAATGGTTGCTATTTTTCTATCCACTCTTTTTCATTCTTCTAATTTTCCTCATAATGCAGTAAGTGTCTACGTTGTTAGTTAATATTTTGTTCTTTTTAGAAAAGGGGAATCAATTGTCCAATTGGTTCAACAATATCCGCTCCTTTTTGTGGTACGTTTTGTATTATAAGTAAGCTAAAACATTTTTATCTTTTCAGATTATAATCGTTTGCGGATTTCTCTACGCTTTCAGATATCTGAGGCAAACGATGACCCAGTTTTTCCGGGAAAATCGATATTACACATTTCGGAATCAAGGAGCGCAAGATAGCCTTGTGTAAGTTTTGGGTTTTGGCTTTACGAACTGAAGTAACTTGTTTATTTAGACATCTCGTCTAGTCAAATGTCATCGATCGACCGTGTTGCAAATCGCTAGTAATAGTAATTAATTCTCAAACTTACCAAGCTTTTAAAGTTGTCACAACTGCTTTCTTCTAATTGTTTTATTTTTGTAAGTTAACTGTTTGACTTCTCAATCGTTACGGGCTCTTGTCTTGTTATGTTATTGGATGGCCGTGTATGTACTTAGTTCATTATCACTTTTCTCAGAAGATCCCTTATTTTCAATAAAGATTAAGGCGCCAGTTATGAAAGAAATGAGGTTAACTAAATAAACAGAGCTGTTGGTAGAACTTATCTTTCAAGTCAGCTGGTTTAACAGCTTTTAAGAACATTGACGATTTCGTGGGGTTTCTCTATTGTAGCCGATTTCTCTCTAAAATTGGGTCAACGGCTCTCTTTTCACATTTCACTCTCGGTTCCTGTTGAAAAACATTTCCTTATAGGATTGTCATGTTATTATTAGGAAAATAACTTTTGAGAACAAAAAATTATTTTGCTATCGAAGCTTCGAGAATGTCTCACTTGGGTGAACACTTCACTTCTTTTGATTGAGAAAAGTGGGGAAACCTGTTGTCTCTCACAACCATTTCTCTCGATGCTTTATAAAGGGTTCATTCTCACTTTTGAATTCACTGATCGGTAGCTATAAGTGGTCAGTTATTTCATGGAATATTCGTTTACAAATCGCCTAGTACGACTGGCTCACCGTTTTCTAATTTGAAGATCCAAGAATTTATTATGTTCCGAGGTACTTTGCAGGAAATCCTCCTATGATGTGACGAAAACATACATCTCATTTGCATTTATTAACCTAATACCCACTTGAACAGCTGTACTTAATTCACAGTATCTTGCGGAATTCGAAAGCTCTAAAGTCATCTGTTGAAGTTCTTGCTGCTTTGTTCATTGACTGTTATAAAAAATTGATCTAATTATATCTTGCACACGATCAGAGTTAATGGGTAATTCGAAAAGAAAGGGAATGGTTGACCTTGGAGAGAAAAGGGGAGTGCTCGATCGAGACCCCCTTCCCATTTCCTCTATCGAACAAGCCAATTTTTCTTGTTCTTTTCTCTTTTCCATTGTTTCTCTATCACAATTTATGCATGTGCTTGAATTTTTTCACAATCAGACAAACGGATATGCACTGAATTGTAAGCCAGCGATGGGGAACTTCTTATTTCGGCTTATTGATTGATTTGTTAAACTATTAGCTATCGCTAACATAGCTATCGATACTTGGATTACTTTAAAACGATTATGGTTACTATGAGTTTATTTAGGTTAAAGGTTAAGCTGTGTAAGCGTTCAAGAGCTAATTTAAAGTAATCCAAGTACCTTGTTTGGGAGACTATTAAGCTTTTTACTTGAAAATAGTTTAGAGCAAAGATTTAAAAGGTAGAGGTAAGCGGTAAAGGACTGGGGAAAGGGAAGGAAGGTAGGTAGTATTTGCCTTCAAAGAGAAGGGGAGACCAGTTAGGGAATACAGGCTCTTCTTTCCCCTTTCTCTCTCATCCCCTTCTTGCGGAGAGAAAGGAAAACCCCGAGGGGAGTCTCTCCACTCACGAAAAGAAAAAAAGAGAGCGAAAGACGTGAACCCGGTCACTCTTTCAGACCTCCACGATCGATCACCACAACAGTCTCCCCATCTCCCCTCTTTCCATAGTCGATTCACTCTTTTAATCTCGCATTGAACTTTGACTCATTTGTTTGAGAAACTTCTATGATTGTTAGCTGTAGGACTTCAATCTATCTTATCCTTTTTTATCTTTGATTTAATGTAATCCTGAGCCAGAAAAACCGTTACGCAGGTTTTTCGGCTGATTTACATTATAATTTTTGTAGATACAACAAGATGATCATTTTGGATTCTCAACATTTGCTTGTATTTGTGGCTGACAATTGTGAGAATATCCAGAAGTGGCTCAGACCAACATACCTTCTTCTGATCAAGATAACTAAAATCATAAATACCTAGGAAAAGCTAATAGACCCGATATTTCCAATTTCCTCATTTTCTCCTCATCCAATCAATTCATTCAGTCTGTGCAAATGCGTCAAAATCGTTTCATTCTCTGCCCACAATTTTTTTTGTTTGTTTTCTTCCTTTCAATTTACTGCAAGCTTCAATTTTACGAAAAAAAAAATTGAATTTCCAGAAATGAGGGTAGTTTTACTATTGATCACCGTGCTCACGTGGGCTGTTCTCTCGCAAGATGTTCAGACACAACAAATCATTCAAGAGGATCAACATGTGTTTATCACCGCTCAGAATCACGATCAAGTTCTGCAATCGGCAACGGTTTGTTGAAAAGGAGATTTGAAAAACTCAATAACTTATATAAAACTTGATTAAGTGAAGGCGTTAAAAGCTGTTTTTATGGTTTAAAAGTATAAGTTTCAACTTAAACGAAGAGAAGTAATGCTTTTTAACGCCAATACCATGACTTTTGCTTTTTGACATCGATCAAAACAATTCATTCAGAGCTTTGAATATCAAATCTTTGAATTTATTTATTATTGAAAAGAATCTAATTGAAGTAGACAAATTTTTCAATAACAATATCAATTTTAAAAAATTTTAATTCTTCAGGTGGTTTTCGTGGCGTTTTGTGCGGAATGGTGCCCTTTTTCGAGACGATTGAAACCCGTTTGGGAAGAGGCGGCTAGGGTCGGTTTTCAAACTAAAAAAATTATTACTATTATTACTAATTATTACTATTATTCTTAATTATTACTATTTTATTACTGTAAAGCTTTAGACAAGAAATAATCCTATTATAACTCTGATGAAGGCCTTAACCTTTCAGGTTTTCAAGAGAGAACACCCGGACAAGAGCGCCGTTTTCGCCATTGTCGACAGTGTCGCTAATGTAAACTTAATTTGGGCTTTTCTAAAGTTTTTCATTTAGTCGGACATCAGTGATAAATATTTTGTCAACAAATACCCGACGATGAAAGTTTTTGTGAACGGGGAAATGGTCACAAAGGAGTACAGGTAAGCAAGAAAGCGAATATGACTGAACTGTTGAAGAACAGAGTCGGTAATTAAGATTTTTGAAAGATTGACAATACAGATATGCTCTTGATTAGTTTTTTCTGACATTTTTGATTAGTTTGATCTATTCAAGTCTTTTCCATTTACAGAGGAACGCGGTCGACAGAAGCTCTCACGCATTTCGTTTTGCAGCAACTCTCGACAGCGATGAACGAGTTTCCGTCACAGGTTGGGAAATGAAAAAATTGGATATCTTATGCAAATTGTATCAAATAAAGCTATAAATTTTTCTAGGAATACGTGGAAACCCATATGGATCGCGTGAAGCGAAACGTGATCGCCTATCTTGTCGACCGAAACTCGGCACAGGCAGACAATTTGAAGGTGGGTTGAATGAGGCTTGACTTGGCTTGGCTTTCATTCAAAATTGATCAAAAAGATCATTTTTGATCAAGAATGAACTTTCTTATGTGTTTCTTATGTTTATTTAGGGTATATATGACTCTTTTCCCATGTCAAATTTCAATTTAATAGCATAAACAAACGAAAATTAAAATTAAAAATTTGTATAAAAGTAAAAATTTTTGATTTTTTGAAAGTTTTTGAGATTCTGCATCATGAATTTATTTCATCTTGTCGCTCTGAATTAGTCCTCTTCTTTCCATTTCTAATTCTAAAGTTGACGGGGGAAAAAGTCACAAGTACTTGTGACTTGTGACAAACTTTTTCCGAGAACTTTCTTTCCAACCTAATAAATGCAAATTTTGGCCTAAATGTTTAGCTTTAGAGTGCTTATCTTTTAAAATTGACTTTAATTGACAATTTTGGCTTCCTTTTGAAAATCTTTTCGAACGTACTTTGTGCTCACATTTGTAAGCACACCCTTACTGGTATCAAGTAAGGAATCATGGTAAACTTTGTACTATATTCGTACTTTGCACTCAAAAATTGAAATGAGAAGAAATGAGAAGAAGAAGAAGAAGAAGAAGAAGAAAAATAACAAACAGACTAAGCGTTGGCGGAGAAAGAAAAGAGAAAAAAGAAGGAAAAAGACAAGAGAAGGGAGAGGGAAAGGGAGGAGGGGCAAAAAAAAAAAAAAAAAAGAAGGAAAGTCACAAGTACTTGTGACTATTTTCCTCCAACTTTTAAATACTAATTTTGTTTTACATGTAAAGTAGCGGAAAATAATACCTTATTTAGCAATTAAATTTCCAGAAAGTGGCAATGATCCTAAAGGACGAGTGTTCATTTTGGTTATCCGGCCCTTCTGTTTCCACCCCATCAGGAGCCGATCCACAAGGAAATCTCATCACTTTTCTCGATCCAGACTCCGGAGAACAGCAAAAAGTATGATTAGGTTAAAAAATGAAGAATAATTTGGTACATTTAGTACACATTGAGTCTGGATAATTATGACTTGTTGAAGCAATGGCTCACCGATAAATGCATTCCGCTTGTGAGAGAAGTGAGTGACGATTTGGGCACTTTTTGATTGAGAAAAGTTACGCTTATGTTTTTGAAATCTACTGCTAGATCTAAATTTTAATAATTGCAATTTGTTTCAGGTTACATTCGAAAATGTGGAAGAATTGACGGAGGAAGGACTCCCGTTCTTGATCTACTTCAGAGATACCTCGAATCGCGATGGAGATAGAGTGTTCTCGGAAACAGTGAGTGAATAAAAAAAGATAAAACTATTTATGCTAAAGTTGAATATGCTAAAGTTCAAGAAGTTAAATGAAGTTAAAATTGAATGAAGCTAAAAATATGCTTTAGGTAATTCGTGAGATATCCGATCAAAAGGGATCTGTCAATCCTCTATTCGCTGACGGCAAGAAGTTCGCTCATCCATTGAAGCATTTGGGCAAAACACAGCAGGTAATTAAAATCTAGATAATATTCTGTCACTTATTGAATCTCAAAAATTTAAGGATCTTCCCGTTTTGGCGATTGATTCATTCCAACACATGTTCCTCTTCCCCGATATGAACGAGTTGACTGTGCCCGGGAAATTGCGACAAGTGAGTGAATTGAGTTGAAAGTAAACTCTAAATAAATCAAGATGCAATTTGATCAATCAATTTGCAATCAATCAATTTGCACAAAGTAAAAGCTCTAGTTTGTGATGGATTTGCATTCGGGCAAATTGCACAAAGAATTCCACGAGTCACTCGATCAGAAAATGATGGATTTGGCGAAGTTTAAGCAAGAGAATGGAATTGAGGACAATGATGAGGAACAGGTTTGAAATTTGGATTTTGAATACACAAATGAAATTGCAGAACGGTGAGCGACAAAAGCGAGAGGCTGGTGGACAAGGGCCACCCGGATTCAAGCCAAAAACCGATCCTCCACCATCAGTCTTCAAGGAGTTGAAGCCAAGCGGAAAAAGGTAAAAATAGGACAAATAAAGAGAAGTTTAACTGAATAACTATTCTTTTAAACTGATGCAATAACTTTAACTTATAATTGGTTATAAGAATTGTATTCAATTCCAGTTTTTGACACCAATTCAGGACCTTTTTGCAATGCTAAATAATAAATGCAATTTCAGATACTCTCTTCTGAGCAAAACCGAGCTGTAAATGAAATAAAAACAATATATTTATTCGATGAATATATAGATATATATTCTTTTTCTTTTTTTTAGGCATTACTTATATTTTTTTTTGGTCATATTCGGGTATCTTTGTATTATGATTCAAGGTTCTGAGCGCATTTCACACACTGAAATTTTTTCTTTTCTTTCTTCAAATCTGTGATAGTTCTCGAAAAAGTAACAGAGTAAAAATCTTGAAAATAAAATCTTTTATACTCGTATCGATTGATGCATGTAAAGAAGGGGGGAAATGGTTTATGAGCAAAAGAAGTCTATCTAGACGGCTTCGTCGGTGGCACTTGTAGAAGATCAACGGAGGGAAGGGAAGAGGGATTTCTGAAAGCTTTTCTGAAATGACAATATTTGAATTTAAATGTTTTAAGCGTAGTAAAAGGCAATTATTTTTAAGCAACACGTAAGTAATCAAGAAAAAGCAATTAGCAACTAACGTACCGTAAATACTGTAATAGTACCCCACCCTCATAATGACGGTGCGGAGTGTTGCCTAGTCTAGCTTTGAACGCGTTTTTCTCGACATTGGTTTATGCTGCAATGCGCGCTTAGGTATCAAAAAATAGCCCTGAATTTCAGCTATTTTTTGATACCAAAGACGTATTTTTTGAAAGTACGGGCGCTTTGAAAAAAATGAAATACTAAAAAACTTTTGCGACTACGCGACTGTACGAGGGCGCTGGGGTACTATTACAGTATTTACGGTAGGTAATCAAGATACCGTAACCAAAGCTACTATAACCGTAATCGAACTGTAAGCACAGCTCAAGACTATACCCAGCACCAAGCAAAATACCTGTAATTGGGTGGTGGAAGTGAGGTTTGTCGCTGTTTATAGATGTCCTCATATAGTGGAGGAGGTATATGCGCAGACGAACAAGCAATAGAATATGTGGGTGGTGGGGAGGGAGTCTGAGAACAATCGCCCTCTACACCTCCATTCCGGCGATTTCTACCTGAATATATATACTTAAATGAAATAAAGTGCGCAAAGATTAATACACATGAATTCAGACCCATCAATAAGATCAATAGAAAGCCGATAATGTATGTAATAATTGGGTAGCACAGATAAAGTCAAGAATCAACTAGAACTGCAAGATCAAGATCATCAATCAAGATAATTGAAAGGCTTCAAGACTATTAGACTCTCTGAAAACGCTAGGGAGTAACTCCAAATTCTGGTAGTTCTTATTGGAAAAGAGTTATACACAAGATTATTGGAGGTGATTGGAATTGAGTGAATGGGAGTTGTTAAAGATTTGCCTGTATTGAGTGGACATTTATTTGACATGAAATCTTTTACCAGTTCCGTCAAATCGTCGAATCAAGAGGCAAGCGAGAAAACAGCAAAGAGAGAAAACGAGGACAGCTGGAACGGCGGAGACGATGAGGAGATCAAAGATCTTTCCGATTGAGACATCCCAATCTAAAAGCAATGAGAAAATCGGATTGCATTTATAAAATTGCATTTAACAAGTTTTCAAATTGATCAATTCTGGTCAATCGTCAAGTCTTGCTCATTGATTAGACTTGCTGCTTGATCACAGAATTTCCTCTCACCAAGCTGCGATCGGGGATCGATGAGAGCGATCTGGGGATCTTGTCCGTACATTTTAGTTATCAATAATATTAACAAAAGATAATTGATGTAGATTAATTGCAAATAATACTAATGAATGGAAGTAAAGTGTGCAATAAAAAGCCTTCTCTATCACCCGTTTCTCCATTTCCGCTTTTTCAGACAAAAAGATGGTTCTCGGGCGGAAAAATTTTCGACTTTTCGTGGACTTTTCGTTTTCTTTTTTTTTTCTTACAGTGATATGTGACAATCGGAAATTTTTGACGCGTTGCACATAGAATGAAAATTGATGAATGATTTGAGATGTTATATGCTGGGATGGGGCTATTAATTACAGAAACTTGTGAACTTTACAGCTCAATAAATCTTTTACTATTACATATAGTTGGGAATCTTTTTCAATCACTCTTGGGGCCTACAAAGCACTTTATACCGTACTTTGTGCTTTAACAAACGCAGCTCTTTGGCACACTAGTTTACTTGCTTTTTACAGACACTGGTGTGCAATGAAAAAAGTTGAAATTGATTGCACCAGAGCCCACTGGATTTAGTCACGATTCTTGCTCATTCTAGCTATAAGCACTGTTTTGGTGATTGCGATTGTTTTGGTGACTTACTTAAAAAGTATTCTAAAGTGACTCATTCATTCTTATCCTATTATGATCAGAATTACCTGCATTCCTCGTATAGTTCTTCTCCTTGTTTGCCGCTTCAATCAGATCGTCTAAAAGCGGTTTATTGGAGAGAAAGAAAAAGATAAAAATTGCAATACATAGAGTCACATTGCGAAAGAATTGCTGTTGCTCTTCATCAACACGCATTCCACATCGACTCACCGATGAACATTAGAAGATTTCTGAATGAAAACCTTTCATTTGCATAAGCCATCGATTTGCATATGATTGAGAAAAAAGTGGAAAACGAAAAAGAGTCCAAAAGGGCAATACTCACATGTGACTTCAGAACTACTTTGCATAAGAAAAATAAACACAAAAATCTGAAGTTAAATTGAAATTTAACTGCAGAAACAAACAGAGCTCAAATTCTCCTAAATATTCACTTCAAGGTCTAAAACTTCAGGGTTCAAAGAAGCAACATTGAGTCAGTCACGTCAACGTCATTTGTTTGTGAAACTCCGGCTATTATAAAGTCGATAATTGCTTTCATGTGGACTCATAAGAAAGAAAATTTTGGGAAAAGGTCAAAATTTGTTTTGACATTGGCATGTGATTGGGAAGGGGGCAGGTAGAGGAGTGGGGTCTCTCTCACCCCTCGCCTACTCGATCTTCCCCCTCTTCCCGGTCAGTCTCACTCAAATCCTCACTCTATTTTTCTCTCATACCGGACTCGGCTCACACTTGTGTTATATACAGGAAAATGGTAAAGAGAGAGGATGAATCCCTCATTTTCTTTTTGCCCTTTTCCTTTTCTGGGATCTCATCCTGTCTCTCCTTTGGATTACCGCTTTTTGCAAAAGATCGATCCGGGAAACGAGTTTTAGATTTGGACAGAAAAACAACTAATCTCAAATATAAGTTGTATCTTTATATGTCGGAAAGTCATAAACTCAAAATCCACCAGTTCTTCACAAAAATTTACAACTGTGTGAAAATGCGCGAATTCTTACTTGGAAGTGCCCATTTCGAGCAGAATTGCAAATCCTCGGCCAACACAGAACTTATAAGAAAAACTTTCAATAGAAATAGGCAACATTTGAGAGGAATGTTGAAGAGAATGCAGAGGTTGGCCTTTGCCATTTGCATTACATTTTGTCTCTGTGATAGTACGGTAGCTCCAAAGAAAGAACACGGAAAGAAAGGAAAGCCGAAGCTTGGACATCCTTATGAGCCACTACGTGAAGGTCCACCCCATCCACATGGAAAACTTTAGGTAAGTGGAATGGTGAAGTTAGAAAAACAAACTTGAGAACTTGCTCAAAATCGGCGATAAAATCTGCAGGGTGATAAGATCTTCCAACTTGCGAAATCCATTTGAAGACACCAAATCGAGAAGGCCGTTGAAGAAGATGCAACTGCTGAGGAGAAAGTGAACAAAATGGCGGTACTGGCAAAGACCGATGAACAAAAGGCATGCAATAATTGCAATAAAATGTCATTGAAATAGTTTAGAAATTGTTCGATGATGCACTTCTTGAAGGACTTCTTCACGTGGCCGCGGATGCGGTAAGTGATACTACACATTATGAACACTATTCGATTCAAAACCACCCATTTTAGCAGTCCAAATTGGTCGACGATCAAAAAGTGGTTGTTGCCGCGATGAAAGCCACCGCCAAGGCACACAAAAACAAGGCAAAACTCTTCGGCAAGCTCATTAAAGAGCAACGACAAGAAGTTGATTTAAAAATTTGAAATCTACATCTAGATTTCCCGTATCCTTTACCCACTTCGTGTTCCCTCACCAAGCGAGATTGTAAAAAAACAAGATCTTTAACTTTTTACAATATTTAGGCGGCTCGACCAACCCAAAAGCCACACGATGGCAAAACTCGCGGATATGCGGAAAACGTAAAGGTGAATGAAGCTCGAAAAGAAATTTCATTGCAACAAAGATTCTAGCCTCACGGTTTTTATGGCCATACTCATCTCACAGCTCTTACTCAAGAGTCGGCGACGGTATCATCATCACTGCCCCAGTATTTGTGCCAACTTAGGGCACATGATTTTCAAATTTAGCCCGCTTCTGGTTGAGAGATGCACGAGAAAAAGTTTTCACACAAATTTTGGACTCCTTGGCACACTTTTACATTTTGAAAGACTGCCGCGTGGATGTGCTACCGTAGCCCTCCCTTTGAATTAGCCTTTGAAAAGAAAAGTCAAAAGGGATTTTCATTGAAAGCAAAAGAACACTACATTAAATGCAAGTTTCGCGTGTGTTTTGAATAGACTCGACTATCGAGATCTCGATAAGTTCTTATCGAGACTGATTGATATTATCGATACCGAGAGCTTATCGATATCGAGATCTCGATAAGCTTATCGATAATGGTAAAAATTTAGATGATTCTCTGTCAAATCTTTTTAACTGAAGCTTATTTCGAGTTAATTCGATGCGCTGAATACGATTGTCGATATCGCAGACCTGGGCTTTAGGTTTTTAAAGATTTTGGGAAAATTTATGGAGATCTCGATATCGATAAGCTCTCGAGCGTCAAGTCTAGTTTTGATGTAACTGAGAAATTGTAACAAATGGATCGTTGAGCAAAAGAGCATCACAGAAAAATCAAATTTGACAAACACGTTATCCATGTCAAGCCGTTATCCCCCCATTTCATACCGATTGTCGTATCAAAGCCATTGATCAAAATATTGCTCGACTGCTTTTTTAAAAGTTCATGCTTGCCACATCAATTCTCTATAATCAGAAACATCTATGCTTTCAATGTTTGTTTTGTATCTTCAAAAACTAGATATAATTTTTTCCTTTGCAGATGATGTCCGACTCAAAAGCTCAACCACAGGAAACAACAAAAAGTAAAAAGACAAAGGGTTAGTTTTTTAGTATTGTTGAAGTCTATAGTCATTATTTTAGCAAAGCCTAAAAACGAGAATAAGAGGATAAGCTTTTTACACAAGGCGGCTTTCATGGTATCAATACAAGGTAAAATTTTTGTTTAGAGCTGAACGACTGCTTTAGGTTCTTCAACAAATGACGCTTTTGCGAAGATAAGCAGGAGCTATGCTCGTGTTTCAAAGGAAGTGTCCAATAAAGAATCACTTAAGGTTGGTGAAAACGCTTATCGGGTGATTTGATTGCAATTTTTCAATCGCTCAATTTTTTAAATAGGTGATGAAAATGAAAAGTGGAAGTATATAAAAATAATAATTTATGATTTTAGATTGCTCCAAATTTTGCGCGATGTTTTTGCCGTAAATGTCGACACGTTTTTGCCACCGCGGAAGGGATCGAGAAAATGAAAGTGAATGTTGATGCGAATTGCCTTGTACGGGTCTGTCTCAATTGTGGATCGAAACGCCGCTTTCAAATGAGCGAAAAACACCAAACAAGAAGTCCAAAAGAGTTTGCAAAGTCAATACATTCTACATTTTTGTCAATAAGTTGATACAACTTGTAAAACATTTACGGGTAATTTTTTTGCATTTTTGTTTGTGTTTTTAAATTCTGCGAATAAAAATTTACTTACTTTATCGTCAAGTTAATTGATTCTGGTTTAAATATCAAGTACTTTACTTTTTACATTAGTATGATGTCAATCAAAATAGGTTGTAAGTGCATTAGATGACGGACGGAACAACTGAAGAGGGAGAAGCCATTCCCGATTCACAAGTGAAATCCGAAGGTAGGCAAAAGATTTCAATAGTTTACTTGATGATTGTTGAATTTCAGATGCCACCATTTCATCACAAATGGCTGGTGTTGCTCTAATTAAGCACGAGTTTCTTATTCATGACGAGGTGCGTTTAATAATAACATAAGTGCAAACAAATTTTTAGATGCCAATCGAAGTCAAAAGTGAGTCCCAAGTGCGAAATCCGGACAAGAATAAAAGACGTGGAATAAACAAGGCATTGTTAGCGATAGCAATTTGTAAATGGCGCTTCTTTAGAACCGGCTGAAAGAAATGGCTCAAATGACAACGAAGGTTCGGGCAAGTTCAGTACGACTTTGCCCAAGTGCTTTTATGCCCGGTATCAAATGCAAGTAAATATTTTCAACGTGACTTTCTTATTTAATAATTTAGGCATGGGACAAAATGCACGAGCGAACACGATATTGCAACTTTTTTGAAAGGAAAAGAACCAGATTTGGGAGAGACGTGTCCATTGTACGATCAACGAGGCTATTGTCCGTTTAGTTATGCTTGTCGGTAAGTTAAGTTTTTGAGTTAATATTGAGAACATTTCTAGTTGCAATAATATACGTTGCTTTATGTAGATTCGGCAATGCCCATCTCACTGAGGATGGCCAACAACGCAAAGAGACTCTGAATAGTCCATACGTCGAGACTGTAAACAATAGGAGCATGCATATTCAAGTTTGATTGGTTTTATTAGTGATTATTTTATTGACGCTTTTTAGATGGCGATGCGTAAAAGAAAGTACGATTTTGGACGAAGCCTTAAGGTGTTTTTTTTCTGCCAATACGTGTGGTCTATATGTATTTCTCTTCAGTTTCTCGAAACCCTACCTGATTGTTATCATCAGCGAAAAGGCGCGCGCAACTCAGCTCCCAACGCTAAAGACTTTTCAGTTGATGTTGCCAAAAAAGGTTTGTTTCTTGAAAGAATATATGCATTTTCTTCTAGGTGGTGTAGCTGAAACAATTGACGAACACGAAGACCAGGAAGATGCTTCTATTCTAAAAGGAACCACAAACATGGTACCTATTTATTTAAACAGTTTACTTTTACTTTATGGTTCAGATTGGATCAATGGAACGGGAACGTCGCATAATGAGTGCCAAAGAACTTAATGAGAAATTGTATGTCGCTCCACTGACTACCGTTGTAAGTTTATTTACTTTTCTTGCATTTTATTCGTTTAAACTTTTGTTTATGTTAAGGGAAATCTACCATTTCGTCGACTTTGTGTCGAGATGGGGGCAGAAATCACTTGCAGTGAAATGGCTTTGGCAACAAGCATTCTTGCTGGTTAGTTTTTTGATTATTTTCTGATGGTGGTTGTAAGATTTGTTATAAAAGGGGTTTTTAAAGTGTTTTGAGGTGTTCCATCGGAGTTTTCCCTGATCAAACGTCACCCATCCGAACGAATTTTTGGCGTCCAGCTAGCTGGTGGATTTGCTGATACAATGACAATGGCTACTCAGATAATTGTCGATGAATTTGAAGTTGGTTTACACTCTTTAAACTTTTAAATCAGCGCTTAGGTCGATTTCATCGATATCAATATGGGTTGTCCAATCGATGTGGTCAATCAAAAGGGTGGTGGATGTGCTTTGCCGACTCGACCTACAAAGCTTTACGATGGTTTATTGCAAACTGGTCTTCCTATAAAGTTGTATTTAGTTATGCGCGGAATGCGTAGTGTCATGAATGACATGGTTTTAACAATGAAGGTTCGGAAAAATTTTTTTGCGGCAATAGCTTTTTAGATGCGAACAGGGATGAAAGAAGGTGTTTTAACCGCTCACGAGACTCTCACTGGGCTTGTAGATGCAGGATGTAAACCAGATCTTGTCACGTTTCATCCAAGGAGCAAGTATTTCTGTTCAACTAATGATTGTACTTAAAACTATTTTAGAGAGCAACGTTATTCGAAACTCGCTAAATGGGAGTTTGTGACCCAGTGCAAAAGCGCTGTGCCTGATATTCCTTTCTGGGTTTGTGGTGATGTTCTTGGTTGGGAAGACTATTATGAGGTGAGCTTATATTAAAACACCACTTAAACACTATTTTTAGAGGCGAGAGCATTACTCAATTGATGGAATTATGATTGGACGTGGAGCCCTCATAAAGCCTTGGCTTTTAACAGAAATCAAAGAGCGAAGACACTGGGATATTGCTGCAACAGAACGCCTTGACCTTGTGAAAAAGTATGACAAACCCTTTTCAAAAGATCCACTTTTTTAGATTTGTTTGGTTTGGATTAGATCATTGGGGAAGCGACTCAACTGGAATTGAAAAGACAAGACGATTCCTTCTGGAATGGCTTTCTTTTGCATGCAGGTAATTATCAAATTTTTATTCTCTGCTAATCGAATCTGCCATTAGGTTTTTGGCTAATAATTGTACTAAACGGGCATAATATGATAATTGTTCAGATACATTCCCGTTGGACTGCTCGAAGTTCTGCCACAACGAATTAATGATCGTCCACCTTATTACAAGGTTGTTTATCTTTTGGTGATATTTAATTGATTTTGTAGGGTCGAAACGATTTGGAGACTTTATTATCATCACCTCGTTCTCATGATTGGGTGGCAATTTCAGAGATGTTTCTGGGGCCTTGCCCCCAAGGATTTGAGTTTATACCAAAACATAAAGCCAGTGCTTATTAGGACTAAACTTTGCTTGAGTTTTTAATTGCTACTTCTTTTTGTTATGTCAACTGTTGTTTTAGTTGTTTTGTACGTAAATAAATTTTATCAATGTTTTCATTTCATCGGACTTTGGTTTAAACGACCTAAAATACATAAAAATTTAAATTTTACTGTTTAGACACAAAGTTTACTATATGAAATAATAAAAAAGCCTCCTCGGTTGTATCTTTTTTGATACATTAGGGTGCTGAATTTAGATGAATTATGTAAATGACGCGGATCGGCTGTCGAACGGGCAACACAATCATCTCAACGGAATTATTCCAGTTCGTAGTTGATCTCCAAAAACAATAAATTTATTATAGGATGCGGCAGAGGCGGATCCTCCGATGGCACCCTTTGTCGAGCATCAAGGAGATATTCGGGTTCTTTCTCAGCAAGTTCACATTATGGATTTTGATTTTGAGGTTTGCTCTTTCAGTTCTTTAAAAAATGGAAGTATTTTTAGAGTCGTTCATTCCGCGTTCACACAGATCTAGTGATTGTCCCTTTCAATACAGAGCTCACAAGAATACACTTGAATTTGGGAAGAGGTAAGAATTTATCATGTAACCAAACCATTAAATTTAGCTGCTTTATTACCGAATGAGGCCGATTTTGATGGAAAAATTGCGGTTAATGGTGAAGAAGCGACATATACGCGGATAGAACCTATTGGGGTAATTTTTTTCTGAACAATAATTATATTTTTGATTAGGACTTGAATTCATCATGCCCTTCTCTCTGTTTGAGTGATCTTTCTGATTCTTTTTATGAGCGTTACCGTGAAAATCAAGGAGAATTGAAGTTGGTGTTAATCAGATTTGTGCAACAACAGTTCGACCTAGAATTGATTTGCCAATTGATTTATTGCCTTTGGTGCGACAAGCACGTTGCTTTCTCGTGGCGATTGATGTGCTAGTTCGAGCTCCAAAATTTGTTCGTTTTAACTACAATCATCTGATTACATAATTAATCAAGGGTGTGCAATTTAATAGCAAACATGGAAATATACATGCTGAACGAGGAGCTCATGCTTTCACTTATAGAACATCAGCTATCACAGGTAAAGTCATGTAGTCACTGTAGGGACTATCCAATTTCAGGGACTCGAGAATGGCTACCATGTATTGATTCACCGGATCAAGTGTGTATTTGGAAGTTTAGTTTCGCTTGCGATGCAACACACACAGCTATTGTTTCTGGAGAGCTGATTGTGAGTCATCTTTGTTTTTGCGTTTACTTTTCCGGTTTAGGATGTAGAACTTACCGAGGATGCAAGGCAGAAAATATATCATTACAGACAAGTTTGTATTTTATGAATGGATGTATCAATATTTGTGTTTATTTAGATGGTGCCGACTGCTGCACCTAATATTGGATGGGTTGTCGGACAATTTACCCCGCATGCGCATCAAGAGATGGCCGAGGTCTACTTTAATCCAAAATTTTTTATAATTCAACATGCTATTATTTAGACGACAAGTTTTGCACTACCGGGACTTCTCAATCTTGTCAAACATACAACATCACAAATTGACAAAATTATGGAATGCTATGAAGAACTACTCTCTTGCAGATATCCTTATTCCAGTCTCAAACTGGTGTTTGTTGATCAGGTTTTTAAATTTTTTACAAATAGAGCATACAGTTTATAGTGTTCTGAAAGCGTGGTTGCTTATTCATCGCTTTCCATCTTGTCGGTACACACTCTTTATCATAAAAAAGTGATTGATGCAGCGCAGGTAATTTTTGCGCATAAAATTTTTTAACAATAACAAAAATGTTTAGGAGTCTCGATTTACGGTGGCACATGCAATCGCCCTCCAGTTCTTTGGCTGTTTTCTGTGTCCAGCGCATTGGGTTGATTTGTGGTGTGTGCGCTCTATTGCAAGGTATAAATAATTAGAGGAACAACAAATTCTCCAAAATAAATTTTAGGTTTTTGGCAGCTTTGTACCTCGAAAAAGTCTTTGGCACTTCTGAATTTCTGTATCACACAAAGCTATTGTTGAATGAAGTGGTCAACTATGAATTTCAGTGGGGCCAGGTGCTTCATGTATCGGAATTTAAATATAAATGTTGTATAGATTATACTACGGCCTGATCTACGATCTCTGCGAAAAACCGATTTTCATTTTGATCCAAGACATCCTCTGATGGTAAAAAATAGTTTTGGTTAAAGTCGTTATTTAATTTTAGGCAAGCTCCTTGTATATCGACATGCTAATAAAGAAAGGTCATCTTGTGCAACGAATGCTTTATTCAAGATTTGGACAGGAGCTATACTTACAAGTAAACCTATCAATAATTTAATAATCTTTTTTGTTTAAGGTATTAAATGGCATGCTGAGTGTCGGTGTTCAAATGGCGGACAGACGAGAGCGGCCAGCTGCCTGGTCATATCTCATCGTGAGCACAGAAGGCTTTTTCCGAACAGTATGCTTGGCTCAAAAAGTTGAATATCTAGAAATTTATAGGTTGGTATGGTAACTGGACAAGATATTCCTGCTTTCGTTGAGCAATGGGTCTACAATGGTGGACATCCACATTTGGATGTAAGTTTTTTGATTCTGATCGCTTTTTGAACAAAGTGACAACGTATTTTTCTCTTAGATTGCTTATACTTTCAACCGAAGAAAAAACATTGTGGAATTGACAATCAAGCAAGATACAGCAAGTAGTCATGGGCGATGTTGGTGAGCTGGAACGTTATAAATGTAGCCTGTTGGGTTAATTGTAGTTATACTGGTCCGCTAACGGTATGGATTCAAGAAATTGATGGAGCGACAAAGCATACAATTCAAGTCGATTCAAACACATGTAAACAGGTGTAAAGATCCTCTTTTCAAGAAACTTCCTTTATCTTGAGGACTTGCAATGCCATTCAAAGGGAAGACGACAAAAGAAAAAGAAATGTCCGCTGGCTTCCGGAGAAGAAGTTGAGATTGATTTGTCCAACGCCGATCCTGAGTCGCCTGTTTTGTGGATCAGGTGCAAATCGGAAAAAAACAAAGCGTAGAACCTCGTGCATTTTAAGAGTCGATCCTGAGTTGAATGTGATTCGGTCATTATCAGTTCATCAGCCACATTTTCAATGGGAGTACATGTTAAAGCATGAACGAGATGTGGTTTCACAATTGCAGGTTTTGTTTTCAATTCAGCTTTTCACTGATTGTTTCAGGCTCTGAATCGATTGGAGCAGTTTCCGTCACCTCAATCAAAGCAAGCGTTAATCGAGACAATTACCAATGAAATGATTTATTACAGGTCCGGATTTTTTCTCTAATCTACAAGAAAAAAGGCTCTTGGCTGAAATCCGGGCATTTTCTTGTTTATTTATTTTCTGTATAGTAACTGTATGAGTTTTGATACCAGTTTATCAACAAATTAAACAAAGTGATTCTTGTTTGAAAAGATGATCTTCAAAAACCAAGAAAACCAAGGTGAGCAAGACTTTCGGCTCCATTTTGTGTTGTCCGGATTTGAAAGAGGCAAAATAAAATGTTAGGGAACTTTTCTTTTGTTTCTTGAGAGTTCAAATTTGAACTTACCCCATTTTTAATCTGAAGAAAGATTCCTTTTTCATAACGACACATTTGCGTGAAGCCACTCAAGATTCTCTTCCATCTTACATCTTACATTGAGTACATGTTTAGAAGAGCCCACCCAGCTGGTTGTCTTTTTCAAAGTCTCTTGAATGAAATAAGCCTCGTTTATTCAATTGTTTGAAAAGTTTGTAGTTATGGACCCTTTCTTTGTTTTCTTTAGAAACAGAAGTACTTTTATTTTTAACCAAATACTCTTCTCTTAATTTCTTTTTTCAAAATCAAGCCCTAATCAGCCAAATGCCCGGATTTCAGGCAAGCGCCGAAAAAATAACGACAAATACCGATAAGTTTTTTTTAGAATTCGCTGCCGTGCCGCCTTCACACTGACTCGTGTCCTAAACAAAATGACTGAGACGTGGTGTGGTGTACCTGACTTGATTCAGTTATTCAGGTATTTATTTTATGGTTTTTTTCTTTACGCTTATTTTGCTTTAGAGCAAAATTCGGATGTAAATCTAATCCGGTGATTCCTCAGCAAAACAATTTTGTAGTGACTAACACGACGCTCCAACAGTATTTCTTGATGCAGGTGCGTCTTAATTTCAATTACAGCTTATTCTAATAAGCTTTAGGCTATTCCACAAGCAGTATCTAAAATGAAAAGACAAGGAGGTTCAACGCCCATAGAGGTAAATATATCTGAAGTTTTTTTGAAGATATTCTCTATTAAGGTCACACAATTTATTGTGTCTCTCATCAAATTTAATGACAATTCGGTGAACAGGTATACATTTGATTTTACATTTGAAATTATTTTTTTTAGATACTCTGATGATCATTATCGGGCCTCGCTACTTCATGCTCTTTTATTCACTTTAACTGAGCGAGAACTTATGAACGACAATTCTCGGCCAGATCAGATTGCGAGTGATGCCCGAGATGCTTTGGAGGTTTTCCCCATCAAACCTTTCTGATTAAAAACATTAATTTAGGAGTTTTCGTATGCTCTCAACATGGATATTTTGAAACCCAGCTACAATCGTGTGGTGGCCATTGCGGCACTTACAGGACTCAATCAAGTATGCTTTGTATTAAATGGATATTCAGTTACGAAATTTTAGTTACAATGTCAGAATCATATTCCTTGGGACTCAAGTGTATTTTGGAGATTTGCTAAGGCTGGCCAAAGCACACCGGTTTGTTTTTCTTAAATTACCAATCTGAGCAGCAAATCTAGGTTCGAAAAGCTGCTTTGTGGATTCTTGTTCAGCGATTGCCTAATTGCAGAGAAATTTCTATCATTGATGACTTCAACCGATTATTGACTATGGCAGAAGTAAATTTGAATTAGCAAAGAGTTCATGGAAATTGTTTAGGAAGATCCCGAGCCATCGATTCGCGTGCATATCCCCACTTTGCTTGTCGCAACACCTCCATTTACTGCAGATAACTTGTGGGTTTTAAGTTTTTAGAAAAAGAGTTTGTTCTTTTAGTTTGGATTTCTCGTATCCATTAAATAATGCTCAATATGCCGAAAAAATATGGAGGATTATCACAAATATTGAGACAGTTTGTGTCGGTTTTAAGTTTTTGACGTAATCGATTTAGGAGCCCGCTGTGAGAGGTCTTTTTTGTGACCTCTATTTCACCAGCTTTGGCTATGCAATGCCTCCTTCACTTCGACCGATCGGTGCTCCAATTGCAATGCAGAGAAAAGGTATGCTGATTGCTGACGAATGATAGTTAACAGTAACCCATATCGCGTTCTCATCTTTAGGTAACCCTCGTTTCTTCACTCCTACACATCAAAAGTCGGCTCGTGAATACTGGAATATCGTTGATGAATGTCCTCCGTCTCCAAGTTGCATTAATTATATCTCAAGAGTTGGAAACATGTCCGATGACCTCCTTCAATAGTTCATCTTTTTGTTATGATTTCGTTATAGCTTTTTGCTAACTTTTTCAATTGTTTAATTAGATTTTTGGATTTGCATACTGTCGTTAATAATTCCATTTAGTTTAAAAAACTTAATGATCTCGCGGGATTTGTATGTAAACGGGTAAAAATAAAGATCAAGGATTTCATCTTGTTTATTATGTTTTATCGTTGGAAAACGAACGAAAACCTATTATTTTTTTATTAATTAACAAGCAATTTTATGGATCTGACAATTACAACAATTAGTTAATTGCAATCACGTTTCAAGAACAAATCTGAAAGCATTTTCAGATGAGTTCCTCGCCAGAGACTGAAAGCGGGGCTGATTCAATGGACAGTGGACCAGAGAATGAGCTTGAAGCACTTCTGACTGGATGCCAGGAAGATTCTCAACCCAGTACCAGTCAGCAAAAGGTTTGTAAAGCGTGATCCCTTTATGGGTTACGATAATTGAATTTTGACCGACGCTATTCCCCAGTTAGTTTGAGATCTGATTAGCTTAAGTATGAAGTAAATGTCAACAAGAGTTTTAGGTCGATGATGCACTCTCAACATTTGTTGTTGAAGATCTCGAAAAGAAAATTCGCGAAAGTTTTCGTTCAAGGAGTGAAGGAGAATGTACTCCCGATCCAAAGGTTATAGACGTGTTCAAAAGGTACCTAACTAAAACTATTAGCTCATCAACGACCTTGAACAACACGCTAAATCGATAGCCGCCAATTTTGACGTGGTCTTACGAGATCTACGGTAATCCCCCACAAGGTTCACGGATTTGGCCGAATTTCAGGGGACGATTGCATGGAATGTCAGATGTGACTTTAGAAAGCTCGCAATGCTTTCAATCGGCGATTGCTAGTGCCTGCGATGTGGCTGATGGTAATATCAAGACAACATATGCGGTAAGTTTCAGCACAAAAAAACGAGAATTACAAACACGACGACAATAAAAAGTAGAAATTTTTATTTGAGCATAAAATGAAGCGAGTTTTCGGATCGGTTGCTCTAGGCTTCTCGAGGGTTGACGGGTCGCTTCTTTTCGCTATTACTATCGCCCCCCCTCCTCTTGACCGAGTCGTATTTCCATTCACGTCCGGCTAAACCGCTCCCAACGGCAAAAGCCGAAAACTCGTCTGCCGTGAGCACCTAAAGGGTAATGGCTTGCAATCTATACCTTCAGAAGGATCTTGAGATTCTCCTTGAAGAGTTCTTTCGGGCTCGGTGCATCGGGAGTAGTAGAGATAAATTGCACGATGAGCTTGTCCTGTTTCAGGCCTCCTAAACATTAAAATAAAGTAACAACTAAAGCAACGTCACTCACCTCCAGACATACGGCTCACGGTGAGCAATTCCGCTTGTCCTGGTTCGACAAACAGGAACACTGGTTGGACGTGGTACTGCTTGTTGTTTTGACTGCGAATCTAAAAAGGAAACTTACGTGAATTGCAATGATTGAGCTTAGAAAAGTCAAAAAGCCTTATCTTGAGAGCAAGTCGAGAATCTCCCGTATTGACGAACATGTGCTCGGAATGACCACCCGATAGAGTGAAGTCGGCTGTCCAAAGAGCAGATTCATTTAGAAAAACATAACGAGATTTTACTTCTTTGTTCACCGAGAGGGTCATCTCCTTTTTCGCGCTCTTGCACTTGCCCTTTTCGGGCAAGAGCAAGACTCTTCACATTTTCTTTGCCTCACAAAATGCCTCACAAATTTCAGACGTTGGCCAAAGTGGAAGAAGTGAACGAGTCACTGAAGGGAATTCAGAAATTGGCCACACAAATGTGAGTTGGGGAAAAAAGAGGGAATTTTCTGACAGGGCAGATCTTACTGTCGATAAGATGCCTATGCTGATGTGAAAAAAGAGGGCAATTTCAGAAAAGAGATGCGTCGAATGGTTGAGATGTTCGAGAAGTTCTTCCAGAGCTCTCTTTAAATGACAAAATGATTGATCTCACATTATAATTTTATCCCGCCATTTACCTATACATTTCGAATCGTTTACCTACTTTTTTCTCAATACCTAACTTCAAAAATTTACTGCAATAAATCGATTTAATCAAATCAACCATTGTGCAATTGAAAGGATTTATCGCACCTCGAATTTCGTGAAAATGTGTTCCATAATTTCGATTTCAATCAATTTCGCCAAAAAATTGCTGAATTTCTGTCAAATGAACTTCTTTTCTAACTATTAGCCATTATTTTTTTTTCTTTATCCGTTCTTAACTCCAATTTTACTGGTGAATTTATTCTTATTTTCAGGTTTTATGCGAATCTCTCTCCAGAGGATAGCGAGGCGACATCCATTTCTCTTCTGGGCACTTTTGGTGAGGGTTTTTCGCTTAAGATTTTGATAATTTTTCTAAATAATCTCTAGTTAACATCTTGATTGTTTTATTTTTCATTTTCAGATTCTTTTCGCGTACATCGCCTATAAAACAAGCGGTTTCGAGGATTTCATTGCGGCTGACTCATTTGATGATTTCCGATGGCCACCATATGTTGATGTTAAGCAAAAGGTAAAGTTTTTGATTTTCAATTTCTTATTTTAAAGACCAATACGGAAAAATTGAAATTCTTTTAGATCCGTGATAACCCGCCGTCATATGAGGCCATCACGCGGATCACCGGGGTGAAATTGGCTGAAAATTCGCCAAAGATTTACTGTAGCCAGGTACTCTACAAGGTTTTAGCATTTTTTTTATTTAAAATTAATTTTTTAGTATCAACTCGAAGGCCCGACGCTGAGAATTTTTGTCAAATCATCTTTTTCAAATTTCGAGGTGAGCTTTTAAAACTGTGGAAAATAAAAAAATGATCCTGCTCGGTTTATTCTATGCATTTAAGGCTCGTTTAATGATTAGGTCGACATGGGGATCTGATGCAAAAAGGGCCGGGGCAGAAGTGATTTTTGTCACAGGGCTTCCCGTTTCGACACAGGTGAGTAATTTCATTCTATAGTTTTACGTAGTATTTCCTTTGATGCGGTACTAACTAAAGTATTTAGGTGATTTCTTTTAAAGAGCCTTGGCCGGCGAACGACATGCGAAACATCGAATCATTGAGAAAATTGTGGCAGGAAGGCGACGAAAAACGGGATCTTCTCATCGGGAATTTTGTTGACTCGTATAGAAATAATACTCGAAAAGTGGGTAGTTTTTGTATTTTGATAAGTTTTCGAGATTTAGTTCGTGCTAAGTCTGGCGGCGGCTGCGGGTCTACTTTCGAATTGTGAAGCAACTGATTTTGCACTCTTTCTCGATGATGATTATCTGTTAAATGTGAGTACTATTTAACTAGTTAGGTAAGGATGTGTTTATGATCAAATTTTTCGTTTAGGTCCCTCTTCTCGTCTCATTGATTCGCTCACTCAACAAAGATGATCCCCTATATTCTGGATGGAAATTCGATTCATCGCCATTTCGAATGTTCTGGAATAAGCACGCTGTGAGCTTGATTTTTCACTATTTATTATATCCAACCAGGTCCCTCTTGAAGTCTATCCATTTGATCGCTATCCTGAATATATCTCTGCGGGAGCCGTTCTCCTCTCATCGAATACAATTCACAAATTCGCTGCCGCGATCCCGTTTGTTCGGGTAAATGAATAAATAAATATAATGAAATTCTTTTCCACATTTAGCTCTATCTAATGGACGATATCTATGCGGGAATTTTAGCCTATTCAATCGCAGTTTCTCCAAAACATGATCCCAGGTTTTTAGTGGCAGTTTGTTTTAATCATGGTTTTGTTTTCTTTAGATTTGAATTCTGGGCGCGAAACATCGAAAAAGATGAATGGCAAGGAATAATTGCTGCACATGGATATCCACCCGCGCAACTCGATCGAACATACAAGACTCATCTAAAACTGGCTTAGAAGCTACAGCTAGAGAAATGTAAGCTACAGTTTTTACAGATATATGATTGTTGATACCAAGTCGTCTATAGTGCAGGTTTTCTTTGATATTACGGTGCTCTTATTGTGATCTTTCCAAATCTTTTGCTAGCGGGTTTTTTTTCACTTTGATAGTACGATTTTTTTAAATAAATTGTTAGCCAAAGATCCGCTTTTGAAAACAGAGTTGACAGCTTTTACTTTTACATCCAAGCATTGGCTGGATATCAGAAGTCGGTCAGAATGTTTATAGTACATGTTTGGTTTATAGTACATGTTTGGTTTATAGTACATGTTTGGTTTATAGTACAAATCCTTTTTTACCCCCTTTTTTTTACAGTTTGGAACAAGTTTCTGTAGTTTTAGAATATTTTATTTCCATCTCAAAAACACATTATTGTGAAAAATGGACACTTGTTGTCTTTTCGTTTCGACATCAAGATTGCCAACAAGTGTCCATGAAATAACTACAAAAAAACAAAGCTTTTCATGGGCGGTGAATGATTTCACAGAAAATAAAAGGCTGCTAAATAACAAAAATGATTTTCATTGCGCTATTGTTCTTCTTAAATAGCTATGGAGTCGCTTCTTGAACGATTAACAAAATAAAGAAAGAATATTTGGTTTAAAACAAATAATTCTACTTTGTACCAGAACTTATTGGCAGGTAAGCAGAAATGTAACTAATCGCTATTATCATAAAATATGGGAAACTTAAAGGAACATTTATTTCAAACTAATCATGTACCTCTTTTTTGAAACGCGCACTTTTGCCAAGGGTCGAACAGTCAACTAAAGCCCTTACAATTCTTACGTGACCTACCTCTAACCCCAGCATCCTATTTGCAAAAATAAAACAAGTACAAGAAGAAAATTGTCAAATACTAGGAAGCAATGTTTATGAGTCACTAAAAAAAACCACGTAAGCGAAGGTTTGGGAGACAAGAAAAAAAAAGAAATAAGAATTAACAAAAGGAAAAGAGCGCTAGAAGAAATGAGAAGGCTTCTTTGGGGTAAAATTGGGAGAAAATTTATGCTGAAGAAAGCAATTTGATAGATCGAGAGGGAAAACCGACTCGAGATGAGATTTCTGAAAAGGGCCGAGAATTATGCTGAAGAAAAACGAGGAAACGAGGAAACAACATGAACTTTGAAGAAACAAAGAGTCCTTTGAGAAAATTTGGCACGTTTGGAGTCTCTTTAAAAGATATTCAGCTAATAATGATATTAAATTTTCGATTTTGCAACTTACCGTAAATACTGTAATAGTACCCCACCCCCATAATGACGGTGCAGAGTGTTGCGTAGTCTAGCTTTGAACGAGTTTTTCTCGACACTGGTTTATGCTACAATGCGCGCTTTGGTATCAAAAAATAGCCCTGAATTTCAGCTATTTTTTGATACCAAAGACGCATTTTTTGAAAGTACGGGTGCTTCGAAAAAAATGAAATACTAAAAAACTACGCGACTGCCACTACGCGACACGACTGCCACTTTGCCACTACGCGACTGTACGAGGGGGGTGGGGTACTATTACAGTGTTTACGGTAGCTAAATATCTCTTTGAATAACAAAGACTTTTTACTTAGTTTTATAAAGACAAAGACCAGGTAAATTCTAAAAAACAATTATACTTTGAAATCTACTGATTCTTTTCATCATAAAGAAAAAAAAGAAAGAATTGATTGACTCAAAATACAATACTCGAAATTTGTGTAAGACCGGGATCGAAGAAAAATAAGGATAAGATAAAACAAATTGAGAAAAGATAAAGCGGAGCTGAAAAATATTTGAAAACATACAGGCAATGCACTTGAAGGAGGAGAAATCTATTGAAAATTATAAAGAAATTGATCTTGAGCAGCCATCCATTTGCTATATTCGGCGAAGCAGAGAGCTTTTTGTGTTGACATTGGATTAGAAAGCAGTCACATTACCCTTTGAGCCTGCTCGAGAAGCTAAAAAAACTTGTTGGCTAGAATGAGAAGGGGTAAGATAGGGTTTTGTAGTTCTGCTAAGGATACTGATGGGCTTTCAGGGTTCTATAACTTAGTGTAACTATACTTGTTGCACTGGGAGGTATACCAGTGCAACAAGTATAGTTACAACAAGTACCAGTGCAGACTTTGAAGTTCTATAACTTACTATTATTATGTCAATTATGCTGGAGGGCTACTGTAAGACCTATAAATTACGTCAAAGTCCTATAACTGTAGTTCACTGTAGCTTACTTACTGTAGCTCTACATTGGGAGGTATACTGAGAGGTAGACTATTGGGATATTGTAAGACTTCAGAGTTCTATAACTTCAAACGGACGAATGCACTTTCTAGAGAGCTCAAGAGAGCTAGAGAGCTAGAGAGCTCGCTTTTTTGAGAGTAAAACCTGGAACTAACCCCTCCTCTCTTGTTCAACTTGTAATCGAAGCTGGCGAGAGATTTCTCGAAGTCGAGCAGCTGATGGCCCGGCAAGAGAAGGCTCTCGACGATCCAATCCAGCTTGGAAGGCTCGAACAACTCGAATCTGAAAAGAGATCGATAAGTACCATTTGACAGCCCCTTAAAGAATCGATTCAGACTTGAATCGACTCCTCTTCGGAGCTTTTCTCAAATCAGAACACAATACTTGTTTTGCCAAGTGTGAAAAAAAAGCGCCACTTTGAAGGCTTTAGGCAACGACACACCAGAGATTAGGTTAAACTCAGGAAATTCAACTTAACGGGTAAAGCGAGATGATCATTATCTTTACAAAGGGGAATCTTTGAATCTTTCGAAATTGGATATTTTCGAATCCCGATCTTTGACATGAGGTAATTATCGCATGCATTCTTATCGAAAACTTATAGCCTAGCAGCTAGGAATCTACAAGAGTCACTGTTTTACGCAAGCTTAATATTAGAGCCGATCGTCTAGCCTTTGGCTTTTTTTTGGCAACAAATCTTTATCACCTCCATTGTTTTCGCGTAGTATGACTGAAAGTTTTGATCACTTCCACGAGCTTTTTTTCTCACCAACTCTGCTGTGAACTTTGCTTTACCAAAACCACCAAAACTTTAGCCTTTTTCATTGTTAATAAAAGCCCATTCACTCGACGGAATATTAAATAGACGGGGGTATAGACGGGAGGAGTTTTTTATATATGAAAAATTGTGGAAATTAGAGGAAATCTTTGGAGAATTCGGTAGAAAACGATAAAATCTGGGGTGTGTAGTGTGAGAAAACTCAGAGAAAACAATTAAACCACCACCACAACGATGACAATAACGACAATGTTAGAGATTAAAGTTTAACGCTTCACAGATCTAGAAAAGTTAGATTCTGTAGAGAAATTAGAGGTGCCAAACAAGTTGAAACGGGATTTGTTAGAGAAAATGGCTTTTGTACTCTTGAACTTTTGAACTTTTGAACTTTTGATCATTTTAGAGATATTTCCCTTTGCAATGTTTTATTTTATGTTTGTGACATCAACAACCAAAAGTAGAAACGGTAAGTACCGTATTTCTTCGAATAGAAGACCGGGTAAAGAGTATCATCGCGTACTCCTGCGTAGCAGCCCTTTTAAAAATTTCTTTTCTGCATAAAAGCTTTCAATCAAGTGCTATAGAGCTGGAAAATGGCTCAAAAATCTGTTAGCTCATGTCGTATTTTTGAGTCATTTTCCAGCTCTATAACACTTGATTGAAAGCTTTTATGCAGAAAAGAAATTTTTAAAAGGGCTGCTACGCGGGAGTACGCGATGAAACTCTTTACCCGGTCTCCTATTCGAAGAAATACGGTATTCTAATGATTTAGATACGGAAACTAATGAGACTAATCTCATTTAAAAGACTTTGAAAAAAGACAATCATCTGAGTGAGCTCGTGTAGAAGGGAAGTCGGCCATGAGTAGCTCCTTAGTAGGCCATAAATTCTTAATTAAAGCTTTCAGGTGCACCCCACTTTTCATTTATAGTCTTGGTTCACAAAGAATTGTGCAGACCTTTTGACGTTCCGCTTTCAGAACAAGAACTAAGAGATTTTTTTTGTTATTAAATTATTGTTGAACACACAACACATTGCAAAGTGGAAAATATCTCTAAAATGGCCAAAAGTCCGGTCCAGTCCGGTTACAAGAGCCGAGAAAATGGAATTAGTCTCTCTCTCTCTCTCGAAAGAGAGATCACGCATTTGGTGTGAAATTAGATAGAAATTGAGCGATCGACACGACATTCTATGCGTGCAACGAGGCCACTCTCAAACACTCGACTCGTCTCTCTCTCGGATTAACTCTTTCGAAAAAACACATGCAATTGTGATTGCCAGACTGCTAGATTCTTGAGTTTACAAAGCTTTGGTACTTCCGTATCTTTTGCTAAAGTTTTATTGAGAAATTCTCCTCACTAAAATGGGGATAACTTGAAAAACAGCCGTAATCTTTCTTTGAGATTCTGTTTTTTGTTTTTGAGACTTCATTTGACCTCATTTGATTCACAATTTGATTTCTCATCGGATAGAATAAAATAAAATAAATAAAATGAATCAGGGAAAATCTGGAGAGAAGATTATGGTAGTTCTTCAAATTTTAGAAAGCTTTAGAAAGCTTTTAGAAAGCTTTTAGAAAGCTATTACACGCAAGAACGCATTTTAATCATTGCTTCAGCCAAAATTGGCTAAATTCAAATCTCTTCAGCCTCAAATCTCGAGTTTGGTACAGATAATTAGCATATTAATTAGCGGGACCAATTAGCATATTATCTGCATGAATTTTGTGTGGAGCATTTCTGGCAATCACAAGAAAAGAGAGTGAGACGAGACGAGGCAAGAGCTCTGGCCACCCTTACAGCTTGATCGGTGGGAGCACTGCTCATCGGCACCGGCTGTAGTCGTTCGGCCTTCTCTCCGTTGATCACCTACAAATTTTCCTCGATACTCTCTCAGCCATCTCTTTGGATTGTTTTTAGATAGATTTTGTGCAACATCCTCATTACCTTGTGCAATTTTATAATGGATTTCTTTTGTTGTTTTTTTTTTTGGTTAAACTTCTTACCTATAGATCCTGATTTATTTTCGGGGTTATTTTTTGTGAGAACGCTCATTCCCATTCATTTCTATTGTTCAAAGAAAAGAAACCAGGCTAAATATGTGTGCTGGGTCAAGCATGCCAACAATTTACAAAGATTTTCTTTGATTTTGCTCTTTTACTTTAGCGCTGAGCTGAGAGTTAGCCTATATTTTTCCACATTTTTCCATATTTCCGCCCTTAAATTCAACTTCAATGCCGAATTTTAATATAATATTTATTAAATAATTTGTAAAAACACAAGCCTAATCAATAAAACTAAAGAATTTGAAAAAGAAAATTGGGGTAGGCTAGTTTCCGCAACTTTTTTTGCGCAACAGGGTCATTTGCGCAACTGGGTCGTTTGCGCAACTCACCATAACTTTCTTCTAAGTGGGCTAATCTTTATGATTTTGATTTCATTTTGTTGCACTTATTGAGATCTACAAAATGAAACCAAAATCATAAAGATTAGCCCACTTAGAAGAAAGTTATGGTGAGTTGCGCAAACGACCCAGTTGCGCAAATGACCCTGTTGCGCAAAAAAAGTTGCGGAAACTAGCCTACCCCAGAAAATGAAATCAAAAGCCAAAAAAACAAACTAAAATTGATTTAAACATTTGAAATAATTGGAACTTTTTAAGATTTCAAACAAAGTACAAATATACAAAAAAAAAACAAAAAAAACTACCGGTAACCGCGCGGGCTTATTCAAAATTTAAAAAAAGTATGTTATAAGTAAGACTAAAGCAAGATTTTCACACAGGTTTATGTAGATAAAGACTATTTCTTTGAGACCTGAGAACAGGAAGAAGAGTAATCTGAAGAAAAACAAAAGAATAAAAGAATAAAAGCTTTAAGTATATGGTCAATGGAGAAAGTTCAAGAGTTTGGCAATTCACGTTACCGGGAAATTCAATTCAAGAAAAAGAAAATGGAGTTTACAAAGGTTCGATGAGCGAGTTTTCCTAGAATTGGCAAAAGAGTTTGATCAGAGAATTCGGGCTTTTGGCGGAGTGGGCTGGCTTTGACTTGGCTTACAGGGAAATCACCAAAACTCGGTTCGGTATTGTTTAAAGATTGAATTGAGATTGACTCTGATAGAATTGAGCAATCGATACTTTACGGCAATCGGCAATACTTTTGTAAATGGATTCTATAAGATCTATCTAGGCTCAAAGCAATTCCCATCACCGAGTTTGAGATCGTTTCTCAAATCCAGTTTTGATTTGTTTCTTCAATTTTTGAGTAATAAAAGAAGCTGAATCGATGTTTAAATGTATAGAGCTTTCACTTTCACTTCCAAATGTAATTAGCTTTCGAAATCGTTCAGGATTCAAATCCAGTAGAATCATCAGCTAAAGTAGGCCAAAAAAAAAGAATCATCAGCTAAAATTCTCAAAACATATCCTTTCTACCCTCCAACGATTCAGCTCCATTACTCAAGAATAGAAGAAAATGATCTAACAGAGTTGGATTCGATAAAGCCAAGCCCTGAGCCAAGCCCTCGATAAAGCCAAGCCCATCCCAACCATCAAAAAACCTACACAAGATAAAATCTAACAAAAACAAAACAAGTCTCAAAATTGTTTTTCTTAATTTTAAATGGCAGTCCAAAAAAGACATGGCAACAAAACAAAGAGCAAAGAAATAGTTTTTTCTAAATAAAATGAGCATAGAATTTCAAGGTGTGTGTGTGAATTTACGCCTTTAAAAAAGATGAAGAAAACAACTACATCTATAAAAAACAACAATCTATATAAAATAAGTGCTTTATGGCAAGAAAGATTAAAGAATTTTCAAAAAGATTTCAAAGATTTTGAGGCATGATTCTCAGGCAAAAAATAAAAGGAAAATAAAATTAATAAATATATTTTTGCAAGGCCATCTTCTCAAATGACAACAGAATTTGTGGGAAATCTCTGTTGTGACACCGGTTAATTGAAGGAAACGGATCCCCAGAAATTCAAAGAATTCATATTTTTCTTATAATTCAAAGAACTGCTAGCCTATGAAAAGAGGCTTCAAACTAGACATGAGCCACGGAAACTGGTGTATCGAGTGACATGCTCTTCGAGATACGAGACGACGCTCCGTGTGCGGGACTCCATTTTTGCACGAGTGGCACTTTCTCCACATTTGTGCCCCCACCATTCTCGAGAACGATTTGTGGCTGTGGTGACGGGCTCCTTGGTTGTTGATGATGATAATATGGATATGGTTGCGGGGATGCTCGATGCGAGAGCGCCGCCACTGCAGCTCGTGTTCCGTTTGGATCCGGCGAGCTCGCGCCCATTCGTCCCCAGCCTCTCATCGATTGCATTGAGTGCGTTGAAGCGATCGATCGTCGCTCGTCGAACTCCTCGAGATTACTTCGGAAAGCTTTCACCACTCGCAACTAAATTTCGGATCATTGTATTTTCCCTAATAGTAGTGCACCGTTTGCCTAAATTCCTAAATTCCTCGAAATCTCGAGAATCGCTTATCAGAACCTATCGATGTGGGCTCGAAAAATGTAGCTAATGATGAGATCTTGCGGGGAATTAGAGTGTTGAACTTCTGGGAAAACTTGGAAACTTTAAAATAGTCATCAACTCGGCTCGCCGGGGTGCACTACTATTAGAGAAAATACGGTATTGGAGTATAGATCTACATATATCATACAATCGCGGACATTAGCTTGCTTTTTAGATATTGTAGAGCTTTCAATATACCGTATTTTCTCTAATAGTAGTGCACCCTGAGCGTTCTCTAAATTGCTCGAAATTTCAAGAGCCACTTATCAGAACCTATCGATGTGGGGTCGGAAAATGTAGCTAATGATGAGATCTTGCGGGGGATTAGAGTGTTGAACTTCTGGGAAAACTTGGAAACTTTAAAATAGTCATCAACTCGGCACTACTATTCAGGAAACGATGATATTAAAGTTAAAAATAACAAAAAAAAATAAATGAAAACAAGACGCGCACAAGCGCTGAGCGCGACCCGATCAACCGGCACTTTTCAACCGGGAGTTGCCTGAGGAATGAAAGAGAACCACCAAGAGAGAGAGAAAACATTTGTGTGTGAAAATTGTTTCAAATTCAAGAGATATCTTCCACACGACTTTGGCTAATAAAAGAGAATAGATGATGGTGTGCAAAAGGATCGGAAATCATTGAAAAGTACCTAATCAAAAATGACATGCACGACTCTACGTCCAACTACAATAGAAGCACGTGATGAGTCGTGATCAGGCTTGCAGGTGAATTGAATATCTTTTCATTTTCAAAGAAAACCAACAAATGGGGCAGCTACGGTTGTGCGTAGCTGCCCAATTTGTTAGATTTTACTTTGAAAATCAAAAGATCATTCAATTTTTCGTTTTTTCGCTTTTTTTTCTGCTTACCTGGTCGTTTAGCCTGATCCTGATGCATCAAAAAAGTCTTTCTTTTTCACAAAAATCGCCTTACCTGTTTTTTTTAGCACAAACATTGAAGCGGATTTGATATCTTTTGGGTGACGCAGCACAATAGGGATGACTTTTGTGAACTTAGGAAAGGCAAATGATATTTTGATGACAGAGAGCCATTTTTCTCAAGTGCTAGAGCTATAGAAGTGATGGTTGATAGAAGAATGGAATTGATGAAGGGATGGGAGAGAGAGTGCGGGTCGGTCGGGTCGCCACTCAAAGAAAACACAATATAATTTGAATATTTCTTATTGTAAAGCACGGCACTCGCGCCTCTTTCTTTACCTTTCCTCTCAGCTCAGCAAGATTTTACCCCCATTCCGCTCTTCAACACATTCCGTTTGTCTTTGAAAAACCAAGCCTTTTATGTCTTGTCTCTGTGACCAAGCTTATCCCCCCAAAACAAGCTAAAAACCTAAATACCTAAATTGATTGTACAGGTAGGGATTGAGAGCCAGTCGCGCACACATTAGGGTTTTTTTTCAAAGGGTTTACAAGTACAAGAAACACATAAACGCCAATAAAACACTACAACAACGATAAAACACAAAATTTCCCCCATAGAAGTAAACGGTACAGTGTTTTGCGAATAGGTTGCAAACAAGCCAAAAAAAAAAGCAGCAGCCAGCTTTCACAATCGAGCACAGTTTTGTTAGCAACAAAACAGAAATCCTCGAGATTTGACTCTTGTTGGTTGATTTAGAAGTTTCATTCATGAATTTTCATTCATTCTCAGCCGTCTTCTCGATTGCGCTTAGTTGAACAATGAAAAAAGCACACAGAAAAAAACTTGTAAAGCTATCTACGTTCAAGCATGGATTTTGGGTCAAGAGATTTGGGCTTAAAAATCGACTAGCCTTTAACGAGAGGGAATTCGTGAATACACTTTTTAAAAGACATAGAAAACTCTCGCAATCAGACTGCCAGCTTGATTCAGTCAATGGCATTAAAATTGAGCTGAATGAAAGTGAACTGGTGATTACAGTAGTTTAAAAGATCATCTTTTAGAAAGAATCACAAGGAACATACAATCTAGCCTTGACAAGAGAGGCAGAATTGTTATGTGCATGGCTTAAAGAAGTTAGAATAGTTGCAAAAAAAATCAAATTATTAAGAGAGGCAGGGATAGCTGAAGGAGAACAAAAAAAAGAGAAAAGGGAAAAGTAAAGGAAGTTTGAGGAGGAGAAGGAGAAGGAGAAGGGGGATGAGGAGAGCTGAGTCGTGTGAATAGATGAAATCTCTCGTCTCTTGCTTTGTGGAGTGAGATAAATGTGAATTGAAACAATTTGATCGATATCGATTGATTGCTATCGATCGGATGGTTTCTCTTTTCAAAAATTTCACAGGCACACCCCGGTTATAACCCTTTCTCATCATAAATCAACACCCATGCCCTCGCACACTTTTTTTAAGAATTTTCTTTTTTTTTGGGAGTTTTCTGGATTAACAGCGGTCTAGAAAACTAGCAATTAGCTTAAAACTGAATGGTCAAGTCTGTAGATTAAAGATTAAGTCTATAGATTAAAGGTTAAGTCTATAGATTAAAGGTCAAGTCTATAGATTAGAGGTTAAGTCTATAGATTAAAGCTTAAGTCTATAGATTAAAATTCTTCCTAATCTAGTTTCGAAATCTTGAAATCTACAATACTCTTTATCTTCCAATGAACTATCTCTTTATCTATCCAATGAACTGCTTACTTGACCATCCATCTTTCAGCTGTAAGATAAGCAGCTATTATTTACCGATTAGAAATCAAAAAAAATAAGTAAGTAGAGCTAATGAGAAAAAAAATACACAAAAGCCATCTCGAAGTTTAGAGCTCTTTTCCATTTCCAAGTATTTCTTGTAATTCTTCTAATTCTTGTAATTCTTGTAATTCTTGTAATTCTTAGACTTCTTAGACTCGAAAATGGACAAGAACCGAGTTCTTTTGATAGCCACTTGAAGAAAGAAATCAAGTGTTGCCTGCTGACCAAAGCTCTAGCAAAATCTCTCAAAGTTGGGCAGCTCTGCCCACAAAAAGCTTTGGCTGTATAAAGAGAAAGTAGGTAGAAGTTGTAGCTAGATTAAAAAGAAATATATAAAAAAAAAACCATTGGGCCACATTTTTTTTTACGGCAGACACAACGGAAACCAAAAAAAAAATCATTATGATTCTAACATTTGTTGTTGTTTTCTTTTGAAAACCGGGACATTGGACGCGCAACTTAGGATAAATAAATGAATCAAGCACCCCAAAATGGAATCGACAGAAATGGATAATATATAAATGTTTAGAATACATTGGGAAATCTCCTCATTCACTCGAACTCTCTAAAATTGTGTGCGAGAAGGGTTGTGGATCTTTTTCTTTTTAGTTTTTTAGTTTTTTTAGGTCAGCCGGTGACCAGTGGTAGAGCTCAGGCTTGTACACGTGTGCTCTCATCCTTTCCCCACAAATTTCAGTCATTCTTGAAATCTTGTTTGAAAAAGCAAATGGTTTTTTTTTTGTTAACGCTATGAACCTGAGTCTGAAGACGGGTGAGCCCTCGAATCCACAAGATTTGCCCGGATCGTTTCTCATGCGTGTCTGGGTCCTCGTATTCACCGGGTAAAAGCATTTGTGCTGTGTCCGGCTCACCACCACCGATAGTCATTTGGGTGGGAAGAGAGCCTGTGGGAATGCTCGTCACCACCTAGAATTCATTTGTTCAAGCACTACCGTAAAAACTCGAATATTTTCTTGATTTATTCACTCACTTGTCCCCACAGTAGCACACTGACTCCAAGTGCTAGACACCACAACCATTGCTCGAGATCCAAAGCGGCACAGCTGAACCAGCGACCGCCGAATTGCACGATCAGGATTTGCGAGATGAAAGTCGCGATCCAAATGATGTAATAGATTGGATTGCTGAAGAGACCCTGCAACAAGAAAAGGTATTGTCCATCAGCATCAACAAACCGCAAAGATATTCCGCTCGCCGTGAATCTTTCTCGCATTGATCTCATTGAAGAGGGTCATCAAGACAAACGCGTTGAAAACGATAGTGAAATGTTGAGATGGTGGCGCGTGCATTTCAGCAAAACGGCCGGATGTCACTTGGAACCATTGATCACCTGTGAGATTTGAGTATAGAAAGGATCACGACAGAAAACAGCTACGAATACAGATGCTAGTGTGTGAGTGATGCGTTTTCTAAAGCTAGTACTTTTTCTGCGAAAGCTAGTACTCTTTCTGTAAATTCTCCGCTTATTATCTCATTTGATAAGCCAGAAATTGAATAAGATTAAAATAAATTAAATCTAAAACTGAATCTGCAATCATGAAATCATTGACACTGAGAACTAACATCTGAAATATCTGATATCTGACTTTTGTAATATCTGAAAGAAAGATTACGGCAAGTTTTAGAAAACGCATAGGTATTGGCTAAAATATGAGCGATAAAAACTAACCAAGGAATATCAAGAGGAAGAGGACGACAAGTTGATACAAAGCATGTCCAAGGATATTCTTGCTCATCGTGCGGGAAATCAATGGCGATGTTCGACCATAAGGTTTCCTCTGAAACATTCTTGATTTCTAATAATTGCTTGTCGTTACCTTCAAAAGCTCTTCGGTTGGCATTTCGGTGGCCAAAGCCAATGAGGCAAGAGTGTCCATGATTAAATTCACCCAAAGCATTTGCACAGCCTAAACAATTTGGCATCAAGATTGATGAATGTCTTTTCGTGAATATATTTAGATAAATCTATATTTAGATCTATATTTAGATCTATATTTAGATCTAAATCCGGTCACTAGATCGATAACTATAGTTTACCTTAAGAGGAGTATCTTGAATGGCACAAGCTCCGACGAAAGCCACCACCACAGCCACAACGTTGACAGTCAATTGGAATTGAAGGAATTTGGCGATCGAATCGTAGACATTTCTGCCCCACATTACGGCCTGAATCCAGTAATTGATTGATCTTATTTTAACTTGCAAACCTTGACAATCGAGGTGAAATTGTCATCAGTGAGAATGATATCAGATGCCTCTTTGGCAACATCCGTTCCAGCAATACCCATTGCAAATCCAACATCGGCTTTCTTAAGAGCCGGTCCATCATTTGTTCCGTCTCCAGTCACAGCGACGACTTCTCTGAAGAGATTTTGTATTAAGCACAGTATTCTGGATTCCCCCACAGTAAGATAAAGCAGTTACAGTAACCCCTATAACTGTGCCACGACTTTTACATTGTTACTATAGTAGTTATAGAAGCTTCTACCGTTTCCACAACCCTAGGTCATCCCTATTTTGGCGACAGTACCACTAAGATGCTTTATAAGTGCTCACCTTGACTCTGTTGCTTTTGAATCAATAATTCCTTTCACAAGCGTGTATTTGTCTGTTGGCTGAGCTCTAGCAAGCACACGTAGTTTCGGCCAAAGCATATCAAGTTTCTCTTGAGAAACTTCACCATTCGCGTCACGGATTCTAAAAATAGAGATAAATATGTTAGAAAGACTTTAACAATACCTAGCATTAAACTCTTTTCCCTCAAGAGCGATAAAATCATCTCCTGGCTTCAGGATTCCGCATGAAGTAGCAATTGAGCGAGCGGTGTTGATGTTGTCACCAGTGACCATACGGACAGTAATACCAGCATGTTGACATTTTTGGATAGCTTCTGGTACCTAGAATATAAATTGTACTCTTTGAATAGAATACTTCAGCAAATCTGCCCAACCTCAGGTCGAACAGGATCTTGAATTCCAACAATCGCAACTGCTGTCAATTCCTCGGTGACTTTTGTCTCATCCTCCCAATCGGGATCACTCGAGAAGGTTGTATCGTTCTCGCTATGGCTTTCACCACTTCGAACATAGTCCTGAAGTTGTATTATGTATTAGCAGAAAAAAGCAAAAGAATTGGCGACAAGAGGAGTCGAACCCGCGACCTCTCTCTTCTGGTCGTTTGAGAGACGCGCGCATTAACCACTCGGCCATGCTCTAGTAGATGGCGCAGTGCATTTCTCTCTAGCTCATACAACCCGGGTTCGACTCCTGCCCGCGTCCGCAATTTTGGTTTTTTAAAAATTTAAAAACAGGTTGCACAACTACATTGAATTCTAAACCAAACTAACTAACAGACAGACAGACACAGCCCTTTATATATAGTAGAGTGACTACAATCCCCTATAGTCAGATTATGATAGCTTTTCTCACCTTGTACGCCAAGCAGATCGTTCGGAGTCCATCAGAAGCCATCGGCTCAATAACGTCACGCACAAGGCGCTCTTGATCCTGAAACAATGTTGAAAACGGCAAAAAAATTAGATAATTTCACCTTTTCGCTGAATTTCTGCAATTTCCCATCTTTTCCGAGGAAATAGTTGCATCGTTTGGTAATGATTTCTGAAGCTCCTTTAGAGAAAACTCGATATCCATTTCCCTTTCGGATGACTGTTGACATTGACTTGCGAACAGAGTTGAACGTGTACACCTGAAAAATCATTGAGACCTTGAGATCTATTGTTCTATTTTTTCTACTTTAAAGATCGACTCTTCTGGATTCTTGTCTCGAATCTCTTGATATGAATTCCCCAGAGCTAACACGAATCCAAGCAATCCGCATTCGGTTTTGTTTCCAAGTTGAGTTGCCTGTTCACCGATTTGTTTAGCGGGAATCACCTGAAACAGAGAATTACTTGAAATTTAGAATAAAAATGACTTGTGACGAATACGAGCTGTTGATACAAATACAATTCATCAGCAAATCCAAAGTTGCCTTGTCCAACTTTTCCATTTTCGGTATTTCTTTGTAATGGACATCTAGAAAATGTTTCTTATTAAAAATTGAAAGTTTTGATTTACCATTGATGAACGATTGAACGACAGTCATTCGATTTGTCGTCAGAGTTCCGGTCTTATCCGAGCAAATCGAAGTGGCATTTCCCATCGTCTCACAAGCATCCAAGTGTCGCACCAAGTTGTTATCGTGCATCATCTACAAGAATTTGAGTTATTAGAGTTATTAGAGTTATTATTAGAGTTATTATTAGAGTCTAAATAGAGTGCTTATTACTCAAAGTGAGTCCAGATTACGGTAGCTAAATACAGCGATTAGAATATTAGCTTTTTCTGGGATTTCTATTTGGCGATAACTTGACCTGGCCTCAATAGACTTAATAGATTTGCTTATCAGTCAAAGTTTGTACAGAATAGAGAAGTTATGGTAGCTAGGTGGAATGCTGTGATTTCTATTTGAAACAAATTTGACCATAGACAAGTCTAGTATTTTAAAAAATACCTTCTTAACGGAATAAGCCAACGACAAAGTGACAGCAAGTGGAAGACCTTCTGGCACAGCCACCACAAGAACAGTAACTCTGGAAAGGTTTGGTGAAATGTTTCTTGTAATTCATAAACCCAATAATGAGGAAGTTGACGAATTGCTCGAAATCTTTCACTTTGAAGTTTCTTCCATTGACCGCGTACTCGGTGATGCAGAATCGAATGACGAGGATCAACACGGTGCAAGCGGCCACAAAGGAACCTAAGATTTCGAGTTTAATATGGAACTATGAATGATTATCGTTTAATATTGTAACAATTATAACTATTTTAAGCCCATGACATTTTTCTGTCTACTTTCATTTGTTGTTTTGTATATAATCAGTTCTGTCTACTTTCATTTATTGTTTTGTATATAATCAGTTCTATATAATCTAAACAGATCCTATCAAGTTGTATTTATCATATCACCATTTACCATAGCTTTTTTTGATCAAACGATCAAATCTTTTAGATCAAACGTACCAGCATAACCGATTTGAATGGCTAGTCGTGTAAGTTTCGCTTGCAGAACAGATCGCTCCTTTTTGTTTTCTTCAATGGCCGGCATTGGAGCCTTTTCGACCTCGCCGTTTGCTTCGGCTTTCCCTTCTAAAGTACAATAACAGTAAACAACACCAGCAGTACACTCAAGTAGATTTCTTTCATATTTTAAAAGCCTCATTTTCATAAAAAAGCCTTTTCTCACCAGATTGGATAAGCGCTTGTCTAGTGCCATCCTCGAGCTCCACAGCTGAACGATCTCCACCTGAAAATCCTCAATTTTCATATAAATTTTGATTCCTTTCATTGTCAATCTTTTTTTTTTGCATGCTTCTTTAGTGCAAACATTTACTGTGATTTCCCGAAAATACTTTCTAAAAATTTTCGCGTTTTTTTTCTTATGTGAAATGTGGCAGGAATAGGACAGAAATGATACAAAAGGACAGAAAAAAGGACTATAAACACATTGAGAGAGAAAAAATCCATTTAGACATTCTTTTTTCTAATTTTTATATCTTTTAGTTTTTAGTTTTTTTTTTGTTTTGATACATAAAATTCTAGAACAAAGGTTTGAAAGAAGGAAAAAAACACAAATCAAAAAGAAGTCACTAAATAGATAGCGGTGTTAAATGAGAGTTGGTAGTGTTAGAAAAGAGAACTCTTAGCCGGAATCCGAACATTTTGAGTCGAGAAATTTCCGAAAAGATAATATTATTGAAACGTTAAACTTTCAAATGATCAAATTGAGCTTGATTGGATTGTCAACTTTGGAAGTTGGCTTTCAAAGCCAACTAAGCAAGATTGATCCAACTGGTAGACTCAAATGGATAGCGCTAATCGATTCCCCAACCCCCGAAAACCCCAGGTACAAATTTACAGTTGGAATATCTCCTTTCTAAAAAGCAAAAGAAAAATCCGGTGTTCTCTGTGCGGCAGGGTAATCGCCCGCGACCTGGCAAATTGCTCCAGTAGAAGGTGTTTCCCTTTTCTAATCGGTGAAAGGGGTCACTGAGAGGATTTCACTGTTTTTCTGCGTTGCTATGCCCAAATTTTTGGAAACGTTTTTGCCTTGAAATGTGTTAGTATTTTTGCTTCAAATTATACAAGGCAATAGGCCATTTTCTTTACTCAAACATCAGCTAAACTTAGAGAATAATGCGATGTCATTTAAGCCTTTTGTTTCTTGATTTCCTTAGATTTCCTTAGAGTTGTGTGCTCCAATCAAATTCTATTTTATATCATTTTAAAGTCTAAAGTACCTAGTTTACTCTAACTCTAACTTTACTCTAACTCTAGCTAAAGTACTCTAACTACCTAGTTTAGTAACTAGCACAGTAAAAATATTTAAGCTAATAGTAAGAATAATATTAGACAAAGTGATTTTTAAAGCCGACTTATGTTCGGATTCCGAAGAGTTTGTTTAAAAGGACAGTAAACTAGAGGAAGAAATAGAGAGAGAGAGAAGATCTTTCATTCAAATCTTTTCTGGGAGACAATCGCTTACCCTGCGAGTTCTGCTTCTTCTGCATGGAACGAGCTCGGCGTTCTGCGGTTTATTTTTTGTATTTTGATTTGAAAATTACGAATCGCATTTCTAGCTAGGATGATAGTTTTTGGGGGGAACAAGCCGAAACAAATCTCGAGCAAGCAACAATTGGCATTCAATTTCTAGAATCATTTGGAAATGTCAAAGACCGTTAGTAATCTAGGGACGATTTCAAAAAGTAGATGAAAATTAGAGGAATTTACATATGATTTCTAGGCTTAGCTCTACAAAAGTGTTATTTCAGAAGTGTTTTCGAAAACGTGTGTCACTTTTAGCTACCGTAATGTTGTCGAATTTCTGTCTAATCCAATCTCCACTTTTTTTCTGATTCTATTCATCCCTATACAACTTAAATGATTGTATAAAATCTAGAGCCAAGATTACGATAGCTTACAAAATTTGACACATTTTAGAAAACGCTATATCTTGATGCTAATCTAAATGCCGTTGAGAACAATTTACGAAAACAATGGACATACAGATAATGACAGAAATGTTTATATTGATATTGAACTTGATTCTTGATTTCAAACCAACCATCTCTCTTCGCGGCTTTCCTTTCTTCTTCAACCACTGTTCGCGCGGCACCGAGAAGCGTCATGATGATTCCCGTCTGAGAGTTCACTCCAACGGCTGTCACCAGCATTTTCCCCGATCCTTCCATGACGTGGGTGCCGGATAGAACAACCTAAAGGTGATTTATTAGGGTAATTCATCAAAAATACATTGATTTACACGAATAATGTGGTATAAAACAATCCACAAGCACAACTCTTTAAGCCCTAAATGAAGGGAAGAAAAATGCCCATAGATATGAGAGCTAATAATCTAGGCGACGGGATAGAACCCTTGATCTCCCGATTAAGATATAGGGTTCTTAGCCAGACGGCCATGGCCAAGCCAGACGGCCATGGCGGCCGGTTAATTCATGACAACATACCGGGTCTTGCTCTGGGCTTTTCCTGATCTGATCTGATTCTCCGGTTAGCGAGGATTCGTCGATTTTCAAGTCATTTGATTGAATCAAAACACCATCAGCTGGCAATAGATCTCCTGAAGTTTGTTCTTGATTTCGATACTTTTAAATTCGTATACCGTATTTAATTTGAGCAATGTCACCAACAACGAGCTCGTTGACAACGATTTGAATCGATTCTCCACCACGAATGACGGAGAACTTGTGCTCGGTCTCAATTTTCGCTTGCAATCCTGAAAAAATAAAGTTCTATGCTTAATTTCTGGTATAAGAAAGGGTTTTTTTGCTGTTTTAATGTAAGATGAAGTATTGTTCCCCGGATTTTGTGTGAGATAATCCAGATCTGGTATTAGCTGTAGTAAAAACTGATAAACTGATAAACTGATAAAACTGATAAAACATAAAGGTGGGCAATGGCTCACCCCGAAATTGTCTCTCTTTTGTGTAATCGTTTAACGCGGTGACCATCACGACGACAATGACCGAGATGAGAATGGCGCATCCTTCTATCCATCCCGCTTCGTGCTCTGAATCGTCTTGTCCTCGTGCATCTGAAAAGTTAGTTGCCTTAAAAGATAGAAGTCTTCAATTTTCATTACTATTTTTTGGATTTCCCTCCAATTGAATTCTATTTGATTTTTGAACTCGATCAAATAAAATGGCCTTTTCAAAATGGGATTTTTGAAAAGGCCATTTTATTTCAATCGATCTCTAGCCATTTCAATCGATCTCTAGCCATTTCAATCGATCTCTAGCCATTTCAATCGATCTCTAGTCATTTCAATCGATCTCTAGCTATTTCAATCGATCTCTAGCCATTTCAATCGATCTCTAGCCATTTCAATCGATCTCTAGCCATTTCTTTCTCAATAACTTTCCCTTAATCTTCATTTATCCATTTTCTTACAATTTCCATTCCATTCTCATTTATCCATTTTCAATTTCTTCATCTAAGATCCCTTGGGAATGTTATTGTTTAAGAAAAGCTTTTCCTCAAAAAAAAAAGCCATCTCTTGCTTCGGGATTAACCGGTGCTCCTTTGACTAGACTACCTCTCCTTTTTTTTTTTTCGTTGGACGAGAGTCGCGAGTAATGCAATTTCTAACAGCCGCAAGGTCTTTCCCACAAAAGAGAAAAGGTCGCCGAGGAAATTTCCCAAAAAGCAGCGACCTCACAAAAATCCCCGCACATACAAATCGTTTATCATAATCAAAAGAGTCTTTTGGGTAGGAAAGTGTACTAGTTACAGTACTAGTTTGGGGTACTAGTGTACTAGTACTAGTTTTACAATGTAATTCTAAATTTATTAGTATTAAATATAAACCCAAGGGAATTTTCAAAAGATGGATTTTCAGGTGAAGTCAATTTTTTCGCAATTTTCTATATGTTTTCGCAATCTAATTTTCTATATATTTTTATCGGTAAGTCTACAAAACAAATTCTAGATTTCTTGAGTCAAATTTAATGTAGATTCTAATAAAAGAAACCAGGAGTTGATTGGGTTTCTAAACCTGGAGTTATGGACCATTTAGTTGAATCGACTCTTCTAAGTAGATAGTCTGACTTTGACAGAGATTTTCTCTATGTTTTTACACTAAAGTGTATTAAATGACTTATGGTCAATTTTTCGCAAAATATAGATCGCACCAAATCAAGCTAAATTCAAGGCTTAGGCTTAGGCTTAGGTTTAGGCTTATGCCTTCAAGGCTCGGCCAACTTTAAAGATATAGGTTTGACTTTCCAAGCTTTCCAAGCAATCATCTAAATTCTAGTCGATTCCCTCAAAAAAAGGAGGTTTAAACTTTACGAGAGCCAGAAAGAGGTTTTCGTTGGGTGGAGAAGAGTTTTCTCCCATTCGTTGTTTTCAGAAGGACCAAATCCGGCGAGGGGAGACCGCGCTCGTCCTCGAAAATGCTGGATGGGGCAAAGAATCGAGAAGAAGGAGATGAAGAAGAAGACAGAGAGTGAGCCCATTCAGAGCTTCACATTGATGCCCTCATGCTCTGCTTTCGGCCCTTCTCCTTTCCCTTCCTTTCCCTTCCTTTGCCTTCTTTCCCCTTCTTCCCCCCTTAGACCCCTTTCATTTTTTGTTCCTCCCGCAATCCTCATTTCTATCTTTTGGAAAGTGGAAGCTTTCAAAAATTATCAGAAATGGCAACAAAAGAATTCAAAGTTTGTTCTGTAGACTGGAATTTGATCAAAGACATTAAATTGAATCATTGAATAACCAAACCTTCTTCATCATCAGGCGGCTTGTAAAATGAAAGTGCCAAAGAGACGATCGCCGCCACCAACAAGATTATTAACGTCACATCCTGAAATTTCGATTTAAATTTGAATAATTAATATATTAATATCTTTTTTTTGCTTTGGAAACACATGACTTTATTTTTTTTTCTCTAGAATTAAAGCGAAAAGCTTGGTCGTGGGCTTGAATCAGTTGATAAGGGAAAGACATAAAATCTCTTTTCTCTGACTCATTTCCATTTTTATAGTGGGTAATAGAGTTTGTTATTGCCAATTTCTCAACGGAAATGGTATGACTGAGAGCTAAGATGATAGGCTATTCATCTAAAAACGACTTGTGCTTTGTAATCTGTTTCCTTGAGACGTTAAAGTTGACTGATCTGAGCCTAAGCCTGTTCAGCAAACTGTAACAGGAAAAATTTTGAATTTATGATCGACTCTAACAAGATTGTAAGATTCCCTTGACTGTCATCTTAAAAATTTCCATTTCATTTCTTGCTGAGAATTCAAAAAGGGGGTTGTAACAAAAGACGACTGGTGCTTTTTTGGCCTCAAAATGGAGAGCGAGGCTTTCCCTATACGGAATAAGAATAGGAATAGCCCCTTCCCCGTTTTTTTTTCTTTCTTTTCGTCCTTCTTGAGAGTCCACGGCACATAACAGAAGAGCTCTGGCCGATCCACCGAAGGGCGCATTATTCCCACGGGAGTGGTGGCTAGCCCCTAGCTCAATCGAGAAAAGAAACCAAAAGAAGAAGACGCACATCGTCTTCTTCTTCTTCTTCTTCTTCTTCTTCTTCTTCTTCCTCTTCTTCTTCTTCTTCCTTTTTCTTAGTCTCCGTCAAAAATGAGGTGAGCAGCAATGACTGCGTCTTTCCATTTTTCCATATCATTTTTTAAAACCTGGTGAAGTTTGAGATAAACGGAATGTTAAAAGATTTTGTTAAATTGTACTGTTACAATGTTTTAAGGAATGTTAAAAGAAATGTTAATAGGAATGTTAAAAAGTGTATAAAACTTTAGAAACAATATTGACAAAATACCTTTTTTTCCGCAAGCAGTAATGCTGCGCGGGAGAGTTTACGCAAATCTACCGATGCAAACCTTCCTCTCTAATTATTATAGTAGCTAGATCAATCGGCAAATTTGCATTTAAACATTCGACAGAGTTTTCAGCAGTTCTCAAAGCCTAGCAAACTTTTCAGAAATCCCCAACCTGCAACGCTTCCCAGACTAATTGGAGAAAACATTTGGGAGGGTGTGGGGGAATCTCGTTGGCGCCAAAAGCAGTGCGTCGTTTTTGCAACTCTGAAAATGCTCAGATTTGATAATGTAAAAGAAATGTGTGCAAAATCGCTTTCCACTTCAAATCCCAACCCGCTTCCGTGTTCGCAATTCCGCCGTTTTGGTCTGTCTTCAACCTCTTGCACAGCTCGCTCGTCCCTCCATAGTCTTGATCGATTTTCTCTCGAGCTTCCGTGCCTCTAAAATTCGCAAAATATACAGTAACCATAAGATAATCATCTAAATAAATGCTAAGTACTAAGATTTTTGTCTGATTATCTTTTTAAAGAAAGTACCTGTACTCCATAAGGGTACGGAGCTCATCGAGGGAGACCCCATACTCACCCATCGTTCTGAAAACATTGAGAAATTATTTCAAATATTTATAATATAGGATATTATTTCGATTTCAATCTATTGATAATTATAAAGATGAAATCTATAGATGCTATGCAGAGAAAAGAGAAAAACTGAGTTTTAAACAAGGTCACAAATTAGTAAAAAAAACCAAAAAAAAGGAAAGAAAAGAGTTTTTGATTGGCAAATGCTCAAAAATTAAGCCAATCAGTGAAGAAAAAGTTGGAGAAAGATAATGAGAAAGGTGAGATTTATTGATTGTTATTAGATTTAGATTTAGATTTCATTCTTATAACTAGAGAACTAGAGATATTGTTAAACAATAATCGCCAAGGACACCAATAAACACATTTTTTTTTTGAGAGAATTTTATCAAAAAGAGTAAAAGTAAAAGTAAAAGCAAAAAGAAATCGTTGGGGAAAGACGAAGAAAAAGAATATGATTGAGATTAGGCAACAACAAGATTGATTGGAGTGTCTGAGAGCGAAATTTGTCGTTTGTTCAAAAATTATGAGAACTATTGGAATCAAGAGCCATTGGCATTCAATAAAACATTGAATAATTGACCAAAAAAATATTACAGCTTTTCTTTGGCTCATTTCATATCAGAAAAATATGATCTAGCTTCAAAAAGCTTAAAAACTAAAGACAAAAAGCCTAAAAACTTTTAAAGCAAAAAATCTTCAATTTTTTACAAAAAAAAGCTAATATAAGTTTAAAGTTAAAATTGAAACAAGGAAAAGATTGAAATGGTCAAAAAAACTAAACTAGAAGTGGGGGTGTCCGTCAAAGAACGAGCATGGAAGCGGATGAAAAGTTGAGGGTGGAGGAGAGAGCTCTGTTCTATTCCCTGGCCGACCCCCCCTTTCCCCTCCCATTTTTGGGCCGTATCGATTGTCTTTTGCGGGAGAATGGCAAATGGCCGACGATGAGAGAGAAGAGGAAAACGGGGGGAAAAACCCGCAAAAATCTTCAACAAGAGGGGCAAAAGCGGCCCTTATTTCTCTTTTTTTTGCGTATTACACTCTACATTTTTGACCGCTCTCGCATATTTTGCTCTCTCCTCCCTTTTTGGGCTTACCGAGTGAATTGGAAAAAAAAGAGATTATAGCACTTTCAGGTGATGGAAATGAAATGTATTTTTGGTCTAGTTGTAAGCTGGGATCTAGATTGAGCTAGATTGAGCCCAGCTAGATTGAGCTGGGTGCTAGTTAGTGAAAAAAAAAATTAAATTCATCTCTTTAAGGCTCCTGGGGTTTAGATGGGAAAAGGACATGAAAAGGCTCTGAAATCTGAGACAACAAATTGGACTGTCAGCGATGTGAAAGGAGTGGAAGATTTCGAATTTCGATGGGAGGAAAGGAGACCCACCTAACAGCAACCAGATGTTAAAAAAGGATGGAGAAGATAGAGAAGATGGAGAAGATGGAGAAGATCAGCAAAGGACATGCTACACTCTCTCAAAGCCAATCGGGTACATAAATTTGCGCTTCCAGATGCCTATAGACTAATGTGGAAAAGAATAGGCATTGAGGTCGAATAGAAACTTTTCCGCTTTCCACCATTTTATGGGGATTGGAGGAGGGAAAAGATTTAGGAAAAGATATTGAGAAAAGGAATTGAACAAGAGAAGGATATCGGATAAGAAAATGATTGCTTACAAGTAAAAGAAGAATAGAATCGATTCATGTCATAGCTTAGACTTCCAAAAAGCTTCCAATAACTTCCACCAAATTAACCCCGACAATCCAATCGATTGGTAAAAGAAAAGAGCAGAGATTTGGTTGAATGGGCACAAAAGAATTGGGGTCACTAAAACAACTGCCCGAGGCGAGAGGAAAGCCAGCCCTCCTCTCCCATCCCTTCATTTTGCCGATGGATCTCGGGGCTTCCCCGTCCATCCCCCCCATCGGGATGGATTTCCCTCGAGTCAATCACTTTTCCTCTCTTCCCATACCCTCCCTCATCTCTTTCATACATAAAGACCTTCTCTTCCATCTCTCATTCACTTTTTTTGCTGACGAAAGACACAAGTTGATTGCTTCTCAAAATTGATGCCTCTAAAAGAGAGCACATCATTCGGCCCCACAATTCTTCTCGCTTAAATCTTAGAAAAAAATGTTTCAGGTTCTGGTATCAACTTTGCGAATTTCAAAAAAGGAAACAAGTGATGTCAAGGTGGGGAAAAAAAGGGGTTGAGGGTGGAGAGATTGAAAAATCGCGATCGGATCTCTTAAAGGGGTCAAAGGGAGGAGGGTGGAGTGAATGAGGGCAAAAAAAGAAATGTTTGCCTCATAGGAAAACGGTACGAGGTATATGTTTATGTGAAAAAAAGAAGAAGTGATTTCATCGGCACTTTTTGAGATGATGTTGATGGTTTTTGATGCATTAGGGGGTACTGTCCAATTAGGTGCTCAAATGAATAAGGCTTTAGGAAAAGCTTACTTCATTCTAAAGCCGGCTGACTGTATTGGTATATTTAAGGCTACTGGCTCGTCGGACTGCTCAAGTCCGACAAGTCTCAAGTCTCAAGCTCAAGCTACTGTCGGACTGCTCAAGAAAATCAACTATTGTGTTAGACAGCTTGGACCATTGTATAGTTAGATCTAAATCAAAGTCCAATTCCAGCTGTTTACAGTTCACTCGTGAATAACTCAACGTTATTTTCAAAATTTAAACCCTGTAGAGAATAGTATCCAATCTTGTTTTTTAATGTTTCAGTCTTGTTTCAGTTTCAGATTAGAAAATCAAATAGATCAGAACAAAATTTGATAAATCGATCATCTATATAGTTTTTCACAAAATTTCTTCACAAAGGAAAACAATTGAGACGCGTTTGATTATAATGTTTGATGAGAGGGGAAATGGAAATATTGAAAAGAAAGAGGTGAGACGAATAAACACCAATAGGCACATATAAAACACAAAAATCGATCCAAAGATGGGACATTTTGGGGGAAAAAGAAAAGAAAACGGGGAAAGGGGAGAATGACCGTGAGCCATGCCCCAAAACGAGTGAAGAAAAGAAAGGAAAGGAAAGGGAAGGCAAGGGAAACACAAATATACACACGTACAAGACATACAGAGATGGGGAAAGAAGAAGACCCATTGAGAGGTTTTTGGAAGGGAAGAGTTGTGTTATGGTTGGATATCTTTGAGAAGAAAGGCTGAGTCTGGTCTGGACATCCCCATATTCGACATATTCGACAAGGAAGGACAGCTGATCTTTGAGCTGATATTTAGAAAGACTTGGTGCTCTAAAAGCTTGATTAAAACTGCCAAGCTCTTCATAAGCTCCCTTACTATAAGCAAGACTAAATTACTTTTTAATTACTAAATTACAGAAGTACTACAGGCTGGCAAACGTTCAAGAAGGACCTATGATAAGAAAATGATTGCTTACAAGTAAAAGAAGAATAGAATCGATTCATGCCAGAGCTTAGACTTCTAAAAGCTTCGAAATCGCTGAAGTTCTTGAAAAACCTAATTCAACTTCAGGTACATAATCAAAAAAAATCCTAGCAATTTCACAGAAGGACTTTTAAACTCTTGGACAAACCAGTTTGGAAATCCTATTTCGTTGAACTTTGATAGCTTGAGGCAAACGGCTATAGTTGAGACTGACAATTGATTCAGAAAAATAGTTATACGGCGTTCGCCAGCACTAAAATCAGGCTTTAAGTTTAGACTCGTTAAATGGAAAATGTCGGACTTTTAATCGGAAGAAGAATTGAAAAGGATGAAAAGAAAGAATCTTTCTCAGTCAATATGAAAATATAAAAAGAGGAAGGGCTGATAAAATGATAAGAGTGAGGCGAGTGGAGAAGACTTTCTAAAGGAGAAGAAAGGGATCAAATCTGCTAACCAAATCTGCTTCACTCCAGTCCAAAATATTCTATTCTTGTCTCGGAAAAGTTTTGATTTGTTTAAAGATTTAAGAAAATTAGAAGTATGACTTTTACAGAGCTCTTTGAATTGGAAAGATTACCATTAGATTTCTGAAAGCAAGAACCTAACAAGAATAAGAACATAACAAGAATAACATAAATAACAAGAACCTATTGGACAGTTGATAACTCGAGAATCCCAATGCTTAATCATTTCCGATCGAAATTCCCCACGCAAACTTTTCCAATATACATAATAGTTTCCGGCGAGTTGTCAATCTCACTATCTCATTTCTGAATGACTAAATTTAAAAATTTTGATCTTAAACAAAAAAGAAATGACAAATGTTTGTCGTGGGCAAAAATTTTGTGTTATTTAGATTTTTAGATCTGATAACTCTTTAGTCATATGCGGAGAATTGAGGAGAAGAGAGATGGGAAATTGTTGTAAAGAAAAAGAAAAGAAGAATGTTGAATATCAAAGGGAGAATTGAGGAGAAGAGAAAGGAGAAGAGAGATGGGAAATTGTTGTAAAGAAAAAGAAAAGAAGAATGTTGAATATCAAAGGGAGAATTGAGGAGAAGAGAAAGGAGAGATGAGAGATGGGAAATTGTTGTAAAAGAGAAAAGAAGAATGTTGAATATAAAAAGGAGAAAAGGGGAATCATATTCAGAGAATCAGTATCACACAGGAAAATGTTATTTGTAGACAGACAAACACAAAAAAAAATGGGACACAAAAAGGATTTAGGTGTTAAAATCGAGAAGAATCAGTCTAAAGTCAAGATTTCATGCGTTTTCTATGCAAATTTTTGGGAAACTATTGATTAATCGGTGATTCAGCGAATAAGTTTTCAATATTTTGATCCAAACAATTAGATTCAGCTGGATTTAGATTAAACAGGATGACAGATTTGGATAGTGAGTGAAGTGTTTCAATTTTAAACTAGATAGATCAATTAGAATCATCATTGGAAAGGTTTTAAAAGTAAAACTTGTAGAAAAATTGTTTCTTTAAATCAAGGATGATTTCTAATTCTCTAAATTTCATTTTTTTTCAAATAAACTCACCAAGATTATCGCTGGTGAAAATCCGTGATTGATGG